GCACGTACCGTGCTGCCGCCAAAGTTCTTGGCTGTCACGTATTTCTTGGTCGTCATTGACTGCAGCCGGAACTGATGGGCAGATGGGCGGATGGAAGGGTGCATTGGTGGGTGGGAGGATGGGTGGGGAGTAGGGCCGGGCATGGGAGGAGGGGGAGAGAGGTGAGAAAGGCGAATAGGCACCATCAGCTGCAGCAGCGGCTTGGATCCGTATTTAAGAGCAGTATTTGAGAGCATCAGATCGATTATGCAGTGTCATAGGCATAGAAAGTATAGTGCCCCTACCGCCCTCACTGTTCCAACCAAACCACACCACATCCCACCGATCTATGCACACCAGCCACCCAACCTCCTCACCCTCCTTCCCCCTCCCCTCCCCTTCCCCTCCTCACCCCCCTCCGCGCGCACCATGGTGCCGTCCTTCCACTTGCGCGGGGTGCTTGCTGTACAGCCCACCTCTCTCCCCCTACTAACCCCCCACCAAACACCCCGCTCCCCCCGCCCCCCCATTCCACCCTTCCCCCCCGCGCTTGCGCACCATGGTGCCGTCCTTCCACTTGCGCGGCGTGCTATACAGCCCGGGGTTCATCCAGCGCTCGTACACGAGCCACCCGCCCACGTTGGCGCCGCGGATGGCGGGCACCATCATGGCCTCGAACACCACGAACGCCTCCCACTCCGACGGGGACGTTGACCACCGCAGCAGCTGGTCGCCCTTGTTGCCGCTCGCACTCACGTACTTGCCGTCGTACGCCAGCAGGTTGATCTGTTGAGGGGGGAGGGAGGGGATGGGGGAAAGGAAAAGGAGGGGGGGAAGGGAGGGGAAGAGAAGGCGGGGGAGGGGGGAGGGAATTGTTCCAGGGGTGCGGGGCGGCAGGAGGACCAGGCACACCAGCAGCTAGCCGCGGATGGCGGGCACCATCATGGCCTCGAACACCACGAACGCCTCCCACTTTGACGGGGACGTTGACCACCGCAGCAGCTGGTCGCCCTTGTTGCCGCTCGCACTCACGTACTTGCCGTCGTACGCCAGCAGGTTGATCTGTGGGGAAGAGACAGGGGAGAGAAGGGGAGGAGAGAGAAGGGGAGGAGAGAGAAGGGGGTGGGGGGGGGGAAAGGTGGGGAAGTAAGGGGGAGGGTTGTTCCAGGAGTGCGGGGCGGCAGGGGGACCAGGCACACCGATCGCAGCAGCTGATCGCCCTTGTTGCCGCTCGCGCTCACGTACTTGCCGTCGTACGCGAGAAGGTTGATCTGTGGGGAGAGAGGGGCGAAGAGGAAAAGGGGGAGGGGGGGAGGGAGGAGTTGTTCCAGGGGTGCGGGGCGGAGGGACCAGTCGGCTTTGACGATGCTATGTTTGAAACAACACTCTCCTGCGCACAACTCCTTTTGGCCTCAGAAATAGAGACTCCCGTGCACTCCCATGCACTCCCGTGCACTCCCGTACGATCTACTCACGGTGTCAGCGCCGGCCGAGACAATGGTGAAGATGGTGGTGCGGTCCGCCTTGGGCGTGAGGTCCAGGGTGGGGAACTTGGCGTTGATGCCCGTGTACACGCCGCCCGCGCGCACGTACTTGCCGCTTGGCACTTGCAGCCGGATCTGGTGGCGCGTTGTGGCGCGCGGGGAGGGGGAGAAGTGGGAGGAAGGGGAGGGTGAAAGAGGGGGGGGAGGAGGGGGAGGAGAAGGAAGGGAAGGGGGAAGAGGTTGGAGTGGAAGGGCACGGCTGCAATGGGGAAATGGAGATGCTGTGGGGGTATCGCTGTTGAGTGCTTTCACAACACGGCTGCAACGCACACGGACTGGGGTGGGTCGTCCAGAGAGGGCCATGATATGGCGAGGGCATGGCGGGGGGAGGGCATGGCGGGGAGGAGGGTATGGCGGGGGGAGGGCACGGGGGCGCACCTGCGTGTTGGAGACGCGCGAGACGAGGAAGGACGACACGATGCTGGGCTCGCCGCGGTGCGGTGACTGCACCGTGCCGCCGCCGGCGCCCCACGTCTTGGCGTTCTCGGGACCCCACCACGTCTGAAACGCCTTAGACATCAGATGCACCTGTTGCGCGCGCGCGACGCAACGGCGGAGCAAGCGGAACGGGAAGCGGAAGGGGAAAGGGAAAGGGAAGGGAAGGTAAAGGGAAGGGGAAGGGGAGCAGGTAACGAGAAGGTCAGGGCTGAGGATGAGACGCGACGAGTGGAGACACAAGGTGGTAGAGAAAGAGCTCTTTGCGCGCACCCTCTCAAGGCGTCTCAATGCGAGGCGCCAATGCGAATCGAAGCCCTGGAGAAAAACCGAGGCGCCTAGACGCGAAAAGCAACGCATCTAGACGCAAAGGGTTCATTTGTTTGCTTTTTTTCGGGACTTCGAATCGCCTAAATGGCAGCTGCCGGGGTACAATGCACGTGACGGGCATGTGCCTGCCGTCCTACCCGCCCATCCGTTTATCCTATCCGCCCCAGTCTCTCCAGGTCCTCTTTCCCCCCTTCCCCAAACATCTCTTCCCCTTTCCGCCATCCCCCGTCACTTCCGACCACCCTTCCCCCTTCTTCCGTCCCCTTACCCCCGCCCCCTATCCCCCGCGCACGTACCCGCGCGCCGTGCGCCATCTGCGCGCTGATCCACTTGGATTTGAACGACGGCCTGCCCCTGGGAATGCGCGGCGCGCGGTTGGAGCAGCACGGGCCGCGGCACCGCGGACCGGCGACGGCCTGCGCGGAGCGCTTGCCCGCGGAGGAGGAAGAGGAGGAGGAGGAAGAGGAAGAGGAGGAGGCATTGCGCGGACTGGAGCCGTCATTCGAGGCGAGCCACGCGGAATTCGCGGGTGCTGCTGCTGATGACGTGAGCGTGAAGCTGGATCGTGAGGGAGAGGGGGGAGGCGCGGGGATGGAAGGGGAGAAGAGGGAGAGAGAGAGGAAAGGGCAAACAGGGGGGTTGATGAAAAGAAGAGAGGCGTATCGTCACCCGCACAGTGGCGGGGCTTGAGGCGTTGAAGGGCGCTCAAACCTGCGGAAGGCCGCGGAAGGGCGCGGGAGGTTGCGGAAGAGTGCGGTGGGGCGGGGAAGGGCGGAACGACGGAAGGGGGTGCATTTCGCCGAAAAGTCAAAGAGGCAGCGGACACGCGTGGAAGCGAGAGTGGGTGTAAAGGGGAGGAGTGGGGGGGAGTGCGGGAGGAGTTGGGAGGGACAATTGGCATGGCCGGAACAGAACGCGGAGAAGCAGCGCCGCCCTGCCACTTAGACTTGTGACCGTTCGTGTCTCAAACGCTGACGTTAACAACGGCGAACACAAAACAGCACCATGGCATGCACGTACTCGTGGACCCACAAGCCAAGCCACCACAGCATATCATCGTATAATCTCACCTCGCAAACTGTAGACAAAACAGGCTTGCAACGGCGGCAACGGCTAATCGCCGTGATTGCCGCTCGCGAGGGCGCGCCATGGCGCGACCGTATAGCACGGGCCTCGAAGAGGTATTCGGGCCTTGGGATCCCGAGGTAAGAAACGTAAAAAATAGACTGATTTAATTCGCCTTGTCACAGTCAAAGTGGTTTCTCTTTCTCCCTGATAATTCGCTGGGGGTGTCGACGAGGATGATCGTGTGCGTAAGAGAGAAGCGCCTAAGCTGTACCGCAATCAAGAACGTCGCGAGTGATCGTGGCGAATGGTCAGGTCAAATAAAAGTAAAGTAAGCAAGTAGTAAGAAAGTAAATCGTTGAACCTCCTTTTGTCTTCCTTCCCGCGTGCTCTTCCTCCAGCGCGTGCATCCCGAGAAAACGTCTGTGATGCGTTGTTCCAAATCGGTTGAATTTGGTGCGTGACGTTGGAAACCGGTCCTAGCCCGTCACCCATTAAGAATGCGCGAAACCAGTCCAAACCGTGTAGGAACGATTGTCTAAACATCAGGTCGCCCTCCTGTGTTTCTGTTGCTTCCATGCGCACCCACGTTCGTCGGTCCTGCCCTCTCCCTCACCAACGACGCATGCCTATCCCCAACCGTGCCTGCGCGTATCTCCACCGAATTTCGCCAGCGAAGCCTAGTTTCGGTAACCATTGCCGACGAGTACCACAGAACAATCTTCGCCGTATGGACAGCGTGGGATCGCGAGCATGTCCAGATCGTTCCAGGTTTCGCAGGGACATTCTTGGTGGGACAGTTCCCACCTCCCCCCCACCCGTTTGGCGAATCAAGTCTTCTGTGTTTGACGGGAACGGAGCCGCGTGAATCGTGAACCCATCGTTTCGTCGTCTCGTCGCACATCTCAAACACCAGAAGCGGCGGCGGCGCGGCGTCCTTGTTCCACCCACGACGTGCCCCATGTCTGGAAGGTGGTGGTGCGTTTGTCGCAAAGCCATTTTCCAGGGTATAATCTGACGCGTCACAAAACAAAAGCTGTGTTCGTCACTCACCGACATAATCACTACAATTGAATGGCTGCATACATGCCCTTTGACTGAGGCACCGTAAATCCAGTCCTTCAGTGCATCCTACCAATCAATGCTAACAACTAAGGCCGCTTAAAGCCCGAGTCTAGAATGGTAAGGCTTCAAGAATACTGAACTTGAAAGGTGTTGGGAAAGCGACGGAATGGGCAAGCGATGGTCATGTGAAGGCCAGAGACATGATGGGAGAGCGTGGGAGACACTCAGAGTAAGCATGGGCGACGGACGCGGGAAGGGAGAGCCACCTAAAAGGCGACGGGAGGGGAGGCGAATTCAAGTTCAAGAATCTTGAACTCGAAAAGTTGCCATTCTAGACTCGGGCTTTAATCCACAATATTAACTTCAGCCACTTCACATTCCCAATACCGGGCTGATGTTTGTACCGGTGTACATGATACACAGCCAATCTATAGCATAGCGAAGGACAACACCTCATACTGTAAAAGCAGTCCAGAGAGAGGAAAAGAACAAACCTATCACATCACATGGTAGTACATCTGTTCTTTCCAACATTTCGAAACAAATGAACTTTACTTCAGATTCTACACTAAACCTAGTGGGTTACTGCTTGGCTGCTGCTGCATCTGCTGCTGCCAACTTGCCCAGGTCCAGCAACTCCTTGAGCTTGCCATCTATCTGCTCCTCAGACAGGCCTTCCAGTGCCATGCTGTGCTCCACTCCGTAGTCTGCACACAGAAAGGCAGTATGAGATGCATGCACCGGGGAAGCAGGGATGAGAAGGGATAGATGGACTGATGAGTGTTACTGAGGAAACTGGGTGAGGAAAAAACAGAACGAGGGGGAGTGTAAAAAAAGGGAAGGGGAGAAGGTAAAGGGGTTAAAGGAAGGGGTGTTGAGCATTGAACGGGAGTGGAGGGAGGGACCACAGGCAGAGAGGGAGCAAACGAGCAAAAGCGATGATGAGATGGATGGAGGTGAATAGACACTGCAACGGAAGAGCAGCGCAAAACCAGTGCACACTGCGCATGTAAGTTCGAATCAATAAAGAGTCAGAAACACAGAGAAAGAGAGAAAGCACAGTGGCAGGGGCTGTCTAACACATCTGCCCGCACAAGCCTCATGCTATCTACCATCATCCCCATGCTGCCCCCCCTCCCCCCTCTTCCCCCTCCTTCCTCCCCCCTGTCCCCTCCCCACTCCCCCCTCCCGCCTCCCCCCTCATCTCCCCCATACTCGCGCTTCCCTGACCCCTGAAATGCATGAATGGCAAGCTCCCCACACACCAAGCACCCTGTCCGTCCCTCTCTCCCTGATCCTCTCTCCCTGATCCTCTCTCCCTGATCCTCTCTCCCTGATCCTCTCTCCCTGATCCTCTCTCCCTGTCCTCGCACACTCCCTCTACTTGCAGCCCCTTTCTCTCCTCTCATCCGCTATCCCAACCACCTCTTCCCACCCCACCCCTTCCTCCCCCGCCCTGCCCCACCCCGACCTCCCCTCCTCCCCGGAGCCCGTTCTTCCTCCCCCGCGCCAGGGCGCGCGCGGCGTACCATAGCGCGCGGTGATGCGCGGCTGCACGCCGCTGCACTCGCGTATGAGGATGGGCAGGTGCGGGTTCTGCTGCTTCAGGTCCGCGTAGTTGCGCTGCACGAACTGCCTGCGCGGAGTGGCGCGGGGAACGGCGGGGGAAGGGAGGCGTGGGGAAGGAGGAGGGGAGGGGAAGAAGCGGAGCACGGGAAGGGGGGAGAGGAGGAGGGGAGGCGCGGGGAATGAGGTGGGAAAGAAGAGGGGGGGAGAAAAAGGTGCGAAATTGCATGGAAGCAGGGTGCGTCAGTTAAGAGAAACAGAAAGAAGGATGAGAGCGAGTAGATAAAGGGGAATGGCTGATCCAGGAGGCTTGACGGAATGCGCGATATGGCGTGGATCAGGAAAAAACCCGGCGCGTAATGAAGCGTGCACAGCGGGACGCGTGATGTTAGCAACGGGCATGGGAATGGCAGGGGACTACATCGACCGACTGCTGGCAGGACGGCGACACGAGCACACTGAATTTGATTGACTGACGGAAAACTGACTGATGAGGAGGAATCCGTTGTCCTTGATTGACCGCGGTAACGTTGCACCGCATGCCCTAACGAAGCCGAATAATCGCACGCCCTGCTACGTGATCTCCCCCGCGCCTTTTCGCTCCGACACAGAACCAATAAAAGCAGACCCTCTACAAGGAAAACAACCAATGCGCGCTTCCAAACAGCCTGTATGCCGCACTTCTAACTCCACGTTCACCCAGCCGGCGGAGAATTTCCAACTTGCCCAACCAAGCCAGACAAAAGACTTGCCTCCAGACGTCTCACGAAGTTACTGTTCCCAGTCACCCCAAAATCCACACGGTTCGCGCCGAGAATCGCGGCGTACCTGGTGGCGGAGCTCGCGGGCGAGGTTTGGCAGAGCTGGATGCGGATCTCGTGGACGAAGCGCGAGAGCGACGAGCGCCACGACATGATGACGGATCAACGAACGGGCGCGGCGCGGAGCGGATCAGAGCAGAGCGCACGGATACCGTTACTACTGCCTGCGGCGAAAGCGAATGGTGATGCGAAGCGGAAGGAGTATCAGTGATGGATCCTCCCACTCGCCGCTACACACTTCTCAAACGGATCGCTCCACGAAACCGCGCGAGGAAGAGGGAACGTTTACCCAATGGCAGAGGAATGACCGTCCGCCACGACGCTAGGCGTGATGTGCGGGGAGGCGGCGAGTGGAATGGCGGAGACGAGAGGCAAGCGCGGAGCGGATTGGCGGAAGTTGATGGATGGCGCGTGTGGTGGGAGGGTTCAGTAGCGCGTGTTCGGATTGGAGGCGGTGGCAAAGAGTCTTGGGAAAATGAAAAACTTGGTGAATGGAAAGGTTAATTGCGTTGGAGAGTGGTTGAGTGGTAGACTCCTGGGCTTGTTGAGGTGCTATATTCTACGTAGTACACTAACTGTAAACCCACCTATTTTCAACACAAGTTTAGGGTTCTATGATTGGCCAATCTGGTAGGTGGTTCACGGCTAGTTTCTAACGGATCTTTTTTCCCTAGATGCCTCCCTGGGTGCATGCTTACACAAGCCGCAAAACTAACCGCGCAAAAACAGCAACTAAACCGCCGTTTGCCAAGAATGGTACGATGACACGAAGGACAGGTGGGAGGGAGGGTCCGGCAGCCTTGAGAAGAGCACAGATGACTGCAACAACCATCATAAGGTTGGTAGAGTTCTGAACAATCGCAACATGAGCACAGGCACAAAAAACAAGGGGATTTTCAGCAAGTACGCAAGGACGCAATGAAACCGAATCACATGAGATGTGCGAACAAACGGAACAAGAACAAACACAGATTCCAGACCATTACTGACCTGAACAACAAGTGCAAGAACCTTGCCAACAGCCCCTCCTTCCTTCACCAGCCCGCCCAGCTCCTTCCCCACTCGCTCCATCAGCCAATAGCAGCCCAGACAGGCAGCGAGCGCCGCTGCCCCCGCCAGCAGCACCTGCTGCTGCCTGAGAGCAAAGGCAAGCTCTCCTAGCGATGAGGAGAGGAGGTAGGGCAGGAGGAGGAGGGAGAAGGAGACGGAGAGCAGCGAGTGGAAGCGCGCGAGAATAGATGAGAGGAGCGGGGCCCAGGGGAAGGAGGCGAGTGGGAGCGGGAGGGAAGCCTTTGCTTGTTGTGGGGAAGAAGAGGAGGGAGTTGGGGAGGAGGAGGAGGAGGAGGAGGAGGAGGGGCGTTTGCCTGGTTTGCTGCCAGGGCTTGGATTTTTTCCTATGCCGCTGCCACTGCTGAATCGGCATGTGATTTGAAATGAAGACTGTGGAGGGGAGGTGCCGGGTGTGTAGGGGCATATGGAGAGGGGGGAAGGAATAGGAAGGTGGGGCAGGGCGGGGAGGAGATGAGTGAGTGAACGGAGAGATGCAAGAATGCAATGACGATGAGATGCATTGGTTGCTGCTGCGAGAGACACGGCATAAAATGCAGCGAGGATCAAGGGGCAAGAGGCAAGCTGCACGAGGTAAGGCATGAGATGAAAAAAAGCGGCTCGGAACAGCCATAACCAGGTGCATATGCACTGCCATTGCACAGCTCCAATCCATGCGCAAGCACACATGGACAATAGACACGTACTTGTACACGACGCCCTCCCTTCCCCTCCCGCCTTTACCACACCCAGCACTGCCATCCTCGCACTCACAATCTCGTAAACGCGCACTCATACTACCCGCCGCACATTTCCCACCCAATCACACTCCCATGCACCATCGATTCCCCTGGTCTCCCCCCCACCCGCCTTAAACCCCTCCCCTTGCGGGGTGGTCCCACCGGAGTTGGTCGGTGCAGGTGACGCCGATGGTTCGAACATTCTCTTCTCCCCAGAATTGGCAGCGAATTGGCTCCGGAAATCGCGCGAGGTACTGATAGTACGGCCGATGAACTGAGATGGGTAGCAGGAGGATATTGTGACCCTGGCCACGTGGCGTCCGCTGAAAGGCCAGCTCCACCACCACCGCTACCGGTCACATTCTTAAAGCTGCTGCTCATTCTTCCGCAGCGCGACCCCGCACTCCCTAGGACTTCGACGCGATAAGACCGGCATGCGACGGTGGCGCTCCCACGCGCGGGAGTGTGTGACGCACCATAGGAAACGAGTGCGAGGCGTTGCGACTCGCCAACTCGCGAACAGTGTGCGACACCGGCGTGGATAGACATCATGCCGACTGGCGAGCAGCGATCGCACACGGCTGGGGATACACCACGCCCTAATCGTAGACGCGACAAGCCTAGGGATCAGGTTCTTGTGGACCTTATTGACAGGGGAGGAGTTCCTGATTGTGTAATGAGTTTCTCTTAAAAGGGATTGACGGGGAAGAGATATTCTCGGTGAAAATTCAGGAGACGACATTTCATTGGTGAGATAATTTTCTCAGTAGAGGAAATGTCGCCAATCAAGCAAATGGCTGCTGACCTGAACCAGGAACTTATTATATCTTGTCACTCAATTACCGCAAAACAGAAACTCATATTGATAATCCGTCTTTCCCGTATGAGTTATCCACCCCACACAAAACTAACTCCATTAACAGCCTTGAACTGGACTGCACACCGATACGGTGTAACCTTGGTATGGTAGTGTGGAGGTAGGTGCTGACCTTGGGCCCAGAAATGGAGTAAAGGGGCAAAGACAACTCAAAACAGCAACGAGTTGAACAGGAGGAAGAGGGTGTGGGGGAGGAGGTCAGTAGGAGTAAGGCAGGAAGAGTGAGAGACGAGCAGGGGTTAGAGAGCAAGGGAGAGCTGATTCTGAGATGTGTGCAGGGGTGATGAAGCACAATGTGCATGGCGCCCCCCCATACCAGCCGACCACTGTTCACTAACCACCACAAACATCAGGAACTGTGGTCACATTGAGGCACTCCTGAACAAGGTTCCCTCGCCTTCATGCCTCTCTCTCTATCTCCACCCATGCACCCATGCACCCAAGGCCACGGCGCCAGCCATCGTTGCTCCCAGCAAAGCACACACAGCCAGACAAGTCAGACACAGTGCCGCACCGGCACTGCACCACACCGCACCGCGCGGCACAGCATGGGACCGCACCGCACTGCATGGCACAACGCGACAAAACACAACACAACACAACAGATTGCAGCCCAACCAGCCAAAGGTCAAGCGCAATGCGGAACCGCCATCCCCCAGTATCCATCAGCAGACACTAAGCTTCCCTCCTCCACAAGCTGCCCTCAAATGGACTCCCCAATCCCCCAATTCAACCCGTCTCCTTTCCACTGGCTCATCTCTTCTCCTCAGCCTGCTGCCCTTAGCTGCTACCCATCCCACACCACTCCCACCCCACGCCACTCCCCACCACCACTCCACACCAACTCCACCCTCACGTAACACTGCTTCATTGGCTGGACCCCACTTCCCCGCCCATAGCAGCAACTCCTGTCGCCGCAGCTGCTGCTGAATCTTCTGGAGCCTTTCCATTGGCAGCAGCAGCAGCACCAGCAGTAACACCTGACGAAGCCCCTTCAGTTGCCTGACCATTCACTGTAGGGGCAGCAGCTGCTTCAGCAGCAGCAGCAGCAGCAGCAGCAGCAGCAGCAGCAGCAGCAGCAGCAGCAGCCGCAGCAGAGCCTGATCCTGATCCTGTGGCAGCACCACTAGGAGCTTTCCCTTGCGCCACTGCTGCCACTCCAAGCGCTTCCGCCTCCTCCGCCTCCTCCGATCCCTTCCTCCTCGCATCCCGCCACGTCGAAGGGGAGAAGCGGAACGACGGGGACAGGGCCCTGAGCTTCCACGACCGGGTTTTGGGGTTGGGTGCAGCCGCAGCAGAAGCAGAGGACGAGGCAGAATCGACTGAGTTGCCGTTGGAGGTGGGGAGGGAGGCTGAAGAGGAGGAGGACGAAGAGGCAGGAGAGCCGGAGAAGGAGCCAAGAGGAGTGGCAGGAGCAGAGGCGGTACCGGAGGGGTGGCGGTGGCGGTTGGGGGTCATGAAGGACCGTATGGCTGTTATGGGGGTTCCCCATCCGGGGCGCTGGCGACAAGGGAAGGGGCGCAGGGGCGACAGGGAGAGGGAGTGGGAGAAGCGGGGAAGAGCGAATGGAGATGGAGGAACGGGGAAGAAGGAAGGCGGGAGCAGGTGTTAGTGAAAGGGTCAAAGATGCAAGGAGCTGGAGCTAGAGCTTGGGACAACGGAGGAACGGATGAGGAATGGATGGAGAAGAGAGGTGTGAAAGAGGGTGGACCAAACCCAACCCAACCCAAGAAGTTGGTGTGCTTGTGCGGCGCTTGTGGGGGGCATAATGGACTGATGAACACCGAAACATCTTCGTGTGACAAAACCCCGAAATGGACTCTGCAACTTCATTCCCATCACACGACCACCAAAGTAAAAAAGAAGTTTGAATTTCATTCACAGGGAACACAAACCCACTGCCTAAGCAATGGCCAGGCCCTGCACCCGCCAATCCTTCCGCCACCCTTGTCTTGCTGCCCATCCTTCCAGCCCCCCCCCCCCCCACCCCTCCCATTAGCCTCTCGTTTCCCACTCCCCACCTCCTTTACGCCCTCCTTTCCCCTCCCCCGCCCCCCACCTCCCCGCATCCCCCCTGCGCGCTCACCCTCTTGGCCTTCCTGGGGAGGTCGGGCTGCGGAGCAGGGGGGTGCTGGACGAGGTAGGAGATGTATTTGCGCAGGCAGCGCAGGTACTCGGGGAAGAACTCCAGGTCGCAGTGGTGCCCGCCCTCCAGGAACAGCGGCTCAAACGGCCGCTTGCACGCGTCCACCAGCATCTGCCCGTGCGACACGTCCACCACCTCGTCTGACGTGCCCTGGGGCGTGGGGAGGTTGGGGGAGCGGGAAACGCGGGGACAGGGGGCCGGAAGACGGGGGCGGAAGGGGGGGCGGGGGAGAGGGAGGTGCGCGATGGGGGCAGGGAGAGGGGGCATGTGAGAGGAGCGCTTGGTCTGCTTCGCACAGAGGTCCATCGTCCCGTCCGATGTGAACCTGGTGGGCAGAGCGGCTCAAACGGCCGCTTGCACGCGTCCACCAGCATCTGCCCGTGCGACACGTCCACCACCTCGTCCGACGTGCCCTGGAGGGGTGAGCGCGGGGGCGGGGAGCGGAAGAGAGGGGGAAAAAGGGGGGGCAGAGGAGTGCGGGGCGGGGGCGTGCGGTGGTGGAAGGAGGGGGAGAGAAAGGGCGCAATGGGGGAGGGAATGGGGGCTTGTGAGGATGTGCCCTGCACGCGTCCACCAGCATCTGCCCATGCGACACGTCCACCACCTCGTCCGACGTGCCCTGGGGGGGTGAGCACGGGAACGGGGGACGGAAGAAGCACGGGGACGGGCAGGCGGAGGGGGGAGGGAGAGAGGGGGGGAAATGTGCGGGCCGGTGGGGGAAGGAGGGGGAGGGGAAGGGAGGCGGTGTAGAGGGAGTGTGAGTGGGGTTGAGCACCTGCAATCGCGCACCAGCATGTGCCAGTCGGATTCCTTGCGTGCGCTTTCGTGGGTGGGTTCGACTGAAACAGGGTGCTGTGCAGGTACCACCTCTTTCAATGTGCATTATGAATGAAGAAACAGAGCGTTGTTCTGGGTAGAGTGCGATGCGAACGACGGAGCGGATCGAGTGTAACGGGAAAGGAGTAAGCGGAAAAACGGGGAGAGAGAGAGAGAGGGGTGTGGGGGGGTGTACGGATGGGGGTTGAGGGGGGTTGTTGTAAGGAAATGAACAGAGCAAATAGACGGGCAAGGCAGAGAGAGCAGTAGGGAGTGCGCGTGGTGGGAGGGGGAGTGAAGGGAGCGGTAAGACGTACATGCATGACGAAGACAGGGCACTCCACTTTGGGCAGCTTGTCAATGTTCTGTGCACATGTAGAGGACCAACGGAGACAGGGGTGGGGAAGACAAGGCACGGCACAGTACAGCACAGCAGACGGCAAGCAGAGGAAAGAGCGAGAATGGTGAGGATAAGAAGTGCACGCTGGCAAACCTCAAGGCATCTCACCCTCCCCTTCCCCTTTTCTTTCTCAATTAATGCGTCATTCTAAAACCAACTTGTGTTTGATCTGTTCCTTTGTTAATAAGTTGATTTCCCGCAAGTCCCGGTTCCTGTTTCCAAGTTCCCATTTGCTCTATCAGACGCAGCAACCGCGCATGTGCGCGGGCAGTGCTTCATTCAAACCCTGGCAACCGCTTCACAGAACACACACGCGCATATGCTGACATACCCCCACCCGACCTCGCTCAATCTCCCACCGCCCACATCCGACCAAGCACTCACACACACAAATACACATCCACATGCCCACAACAGATGCTGCCAACAGCCTCTTTACTCTCCACATCCACCCAAGCAACCAACCACCCATCCACGTGCACTCCGCAAACCCCACACACGTCAACGCTGCGGACGTGGACACAGGCCCCCCCTCCCCTTCTCCTTTCCTCTCCCCTCCTTTGCCCCCTTCCCCTTCCTCACGTTTCCCAGCGCGAGGCGTAACGGGAAGATGTCGAACCAGTAGGTGTGCTTGACCTCGTACAGCACGCGCACGCCCGACGCAGACACAGAACCCCCTCTTCCCCATTCCTTCCCTCCGCCCTCCGCCCTCTCCGCAACCCCCACCCCCTCCCTTCCCGCCCCAGAGCGAGGCGTACCGGGAAGATGTCGAACCAGTAGGTGTGCTTGACCTCGTACAGCACGCGCACGCCCGACGCGATGGGGCTGTGCAGCACCACGCCGCGCACGTCGGGCGTGCGCGACGCGAGGTCGACGGTGGGCCCGCTGCCGACGCTCTGGCCGTACAGCACGACCTGGTCCGCGCCGATGCTGTACCGCTGCTGCAGACACGCCATCACCGCCTCCACGTCCGCGTACGTGTCCGCCTCCGACGGCTGCGCGGGAAACGCGGGGGGGCGGGTGCGCGGGGGTGGGGGGGGGGGGAAGGGGGAAGGGGGGACGGGGAGGGGGAAGACGGAGAGGGGTTGTGGTCACGGGTTGTGGAAATTGCGTGGGAGAAGTAGTTACGAGGGCGCTGGAACCATGAGGAGGGGGGAGGGAGAAATTCTATTTTCTGCAGGCGAGGCGAACTTGATCTTAGCGGAGAAAGCTCAAGACACTTGTCGGAAGGGCGGAGCATGGCACAATGATTCCATAGAGAGGGGCTGAGAAAGTCGAGGAAAGGAGGGGGAGTGGGGGGAAGAGGAGGGGGGGACTGCAGAGGAACGATGGCGCAAGAAAACGTCCAGAGGGCAGTTAAGAAAAAGCACCAAGTTAAGTAAAACACATACACCCTTCCTTTACCCTTGCACCCTTCCTTATGAACTAGTGAAAACTAGTGAACCCAGCTTGCGAGAAGCATCGTACCTTGCCGGTTGAGGCGCCGTATCCCGTGTAGTCGTACCTGGTGAGACACGGGAGGTGATGGGATGGGTGATGACGGAAGATTGGGAAGGTAAGAAGGTGAACAGAGAGGACAGAGAGAGCAGAGAGTGCAAACAAAAGGTGCAGAGAGCTCTAAAGGAAGCCAAGAGTGCAATTTTTTTTAACTTGTAGAAAGGACGCGTCAGCGACAACAACAATTGGGACCGAAGGAATGAGGGAGAGAGGGAGAGGGAGAGCGGAAGGAGGGAAGCGAGAGCAGGGGTGGTTACGAGGCTCACCCCATGAGATTAACTCGCAGCATGTGCGCGAGCTCGACGTAGAGGTCGTGCATCTGTCCCAGGTCAGCCGCATTGCCGTGCGAGTACAGCAACGTCAATCGCGCGCGGGGATTGCGGACGAACATGGCCGCCACCTGCTGTCTCCGCCGCGTGTCGATCAGCAGCACGTCCACGTGGTCTTGCGGCGGGATGCTGTCGAATCGCAGCTTTCCAGTGCTCGGGTCCTTCACGATCCCGTATGAAGGCGGAGTTGGCGGGAAAAACGCGAATTTCGCCGCTAACGATGACGTCATGGCACCCATGGTGGCGTAACGAAGCTAACAGCGCAAGCAATTCCTTTTACCCTCACGCAATATCCACACAACTAACCCGGAGACTGAAAGCTTTCGAAGTTAGGAAGGGTCTAATATATTAGATCAGTCTGCACAGTATACGGGCCAATGAATAGCCAAGTATGCCTTTCACCGAACGAGCGAAAGGTGCCTTGAGGAGGTAACTGTGCGAAGCAGAAAAAAAAAACTGGTGGTGAGTCTCAGGAAGAGATATTAGAAAGTAACGTTAGAGGCTGTTGTCGTTGTGAAAGCCGGAACACCAGCGTAACGAACGGCTACCGTGGCGGAAGGATGGAGCGCGGCTGCCTTACTAGGCAACAGCGCCGCGCGGGCGAAGTACAGCACGGCATTTGACAGAGACACGGGTTAGACCAGACTGTATAGTAATGATTGTTGTATAAATCCTTCTGGAACCTAATACAGCCTAGGTAAACGGTTGCATCTGAATGTGGGCTTTGCGGGAAGGCCACGGAAGATGTTAGGGTTCAAAGTACGAGTCTGGCTTATTGTGAACAATAACGAAGGATCGGGAATTCTACACTGGTTGGTGGAGAAAAAACGAAGCGTGTCCGGTCAGTTTAGGAACGTTGACGTCGCTGTCGTCAAGCAGTGAAGCAGGAAAAGTGTGTCTAGAGACTAAAGCATCTGTACGAGGGTCCACGCGGTAAGTGTAGAAGCGTGCCAACCTAAACACAGCATATCTATAAAACGTAGAGTTGGTGAAGGGGAAAGCAGAGTGGAGCACAGAGCATCCTCACAAAAGAGTTTGGTTGCAATGAGGAGCCAGCAGAGCCAAGAGCAGGGTGAGCAGCGGCAGGGTGGGTGGGCGGAGAAACCTGCATTCACCGCTGGCGGGGGGTGGGGAGGGGAGGGGATGCGGGGAGAGGGGGAAGCATGGCGCAAGCCCAGGGGAAAGCCTAGCGAGAGGCACGGAAGGGGGGTCCTTTCCTCTTCCCAGTTCGTGCTCAACTGCTCGGGAAATGGGCGGATACGGAGTCGGGTTGGGGACGCTGTAGTCCGCATTTTTCAGTCCGTGCAAAGCAAGTCAGTCCGTATGTGGTGGTGCTGCGTTGAGGAAATTGCGTTTGCTGTGCGGGAGAGGGAGGGGGGGAGGGGGGGGGGGGGAAGTGGTGTTGGGGAAGGGAGGGGGAGTAGAGGGGGAGGGGGTTGCGGGGGGGCATGGTTGGTGGGTGGTGCTGGTGCTGTGGTGTGCTGTGTCCTCGCTGCAGTTGCGCGACACAACGAGAACTAGCGACAGACGGACAGGTCGATGGGGTTGACGGATGCGTGACGAGGGCAGACTGGAAAGTACTGCCGCAGAAAGTCCATCAAGGTCCCAAGTTTGCGAATGGTTGCGAATGGTTGCGAATGTATTGTCGCTCGTCGCGCAGGGACCCTTGGCGAGGCGAGGCGTTTGTCTCCATGGCAAGCAACTCCGCGCGTTATTGTCAAGAGTAATTCAACCTGCGATGCGCCAACATGGACAAAACTGCAGGCAGCGGTTATTGCAGGAGTCGTTTCTTTATAAACCACTTGTCTGTATGGAAGCAATTAAGGTCATACAAACACAAACACACGTACCGTAAGTCTAAGTGGTGAAAGGGCTACAAGGAGAGGGAGAAGGAGGATAAACAGCACATTAAGATTATTCACAAATGTATGCAAATCACATTTCATCGACTACTGACCAACCACAATATTCTTGACGATTAAAAATTATACCCACCGTAAAAATATGTAACAAAATCCAAAACCAGGATACCCTCTTGTTAAGATACGGTAGTCAACAACAGAGTCCATATTGGTTTGGGGACAGGCTGAGAACACAGAATCAAATGGCAATGTTTTTACAACAAATGTTATATCGTAATACTCCCTGTATGGAATGTAAAATAGCATGCACCTTCTCACCAAGGGCAATGATTTACAGACCACGTCTTATAACATGTTTCTAAAGAAGTAAGCACTACTAGAGTTGACATTTTCTTTCATTGAAGTAAGCATCCCACTCTACCAAAGCAGGAATTATCTGGACTGGTGTATCTGGATATTCTCCATGTCAGCCCCTCGCTCAGCGGCATCCTTCCCAACAACACAGTCGCGCAATTGGGGCTTGTCCCTGTCGTTATTCCACTAGCACAGGTCCTACATTTCGTTCTGCTCACGTGACTCAAGACCAGGTCGGCATTGGTCCTTCATTCATTGTTCTTCAACACACTTTTGCGTGAGTAACTTGATAAACCGAAGCGCTGCGGAACAAGCTAAAGAATCAGGCGTCGACTAACGGTGGTATTAGTCCAAGAAAGATTCCTATCCGGCACCCTGTGAAAGCCGTAACCTTTTACTTCTAGAAGCCATGGCGACTTCAGACACTGTCGCGGTTCGCAGAAAGCGCATAATGGTTGCGATGGATGAAACACGTGGCTCGCGAACCGCGTTACGGTGGACCATAGGCCACGTGGCTTCAGAGGGCGAAGACACCGTGGTGCTGCTGTGCGTACAGGACCCGTCCGTGCAGCCAGGTACGAGGAAGAGGAAGCGGAAGAGGAACATGACCTCTTGAAAAGAAAGAAGAACAACCTAAGTGCATTTTGGGAGTGCCGAGTACAGTTGCACGTTTTAAGGACCTTTTAAATGTCAAGCCAGAACGCGCCTGTTCGACGTTCCAGGAAAAAACAACCTAAACGCGCCTTTCGTCACCTCCTCGTCTGTCTTCTGCATGTTGCGCCTGCTTCTTTTTCTGATACTCTGTCGCCAGTGGCTGTGACTCCTCAGCTCCTCGACAGTCTCATGGAACGCTCACGGCAGATGTGCCAGGAGACGGACAAGCAGGTCAGCTCTCGCTCCCTAGCACCATCATCTGCTTCCGTCCTCATTTCTTCTCTCCGTCCGTTCCGCCTTCTTCACCACTGACGCCCTCCCTCATCCGCGGCCCGCCTGCTTGCCTGCTCGCCTGCCTGTCTGCCGGTCTGCCTGTTCATCGCTCCAGGTGCAGTGCGAGGGAGCGTTTGCGGAAGGCGACGTGCGGGAGAAGATTGTGTCTATATGCGCGGACAGGGATGTGGACCTCCTTGTGCTCGGTAGCCGCCGCCAACTCTCCTCCCACCGGTGAGGGAGCTCCTCCCACCCACCCATCCACCCACTCACCCACCTCTGCCTTCCCTGCCCCATGCACCGCTAGGCGGGGCACTTAGCAGTAGCATATGCAGCTCACTTCACCAACTTGAAACCCGAACCCTTTCCCCCCCTCCTCTCTCCCCCCCGTTGTCCCCCCTTCGCCCATTTCCTCTTCCCCTCCTATTCTCCATCCGCTCATCCTCTTTCCTCCCCTCCCTCAATACCTTCTATGCATTGCTGCACTTATGCCCCCCCCCTTGCCGCTTTTGCACCTCTCTTCGTTGCCTTCAGCTTCCCTGAAATCTGCCCATCCCCAATCCACCCCCCTGTTCACCTTCCACCCCCACATCCCCAACTATATCCCTATCCATCCACCCCCAAATTGACCCCCCTATCGTATATCTTCCTATCCACCCTTCCCCCAACACCCCTTTCTCTCCGACCCCTTTTCCCCCCCCAGCATGTTGACAGGCAGCCGGGGCAACTACTGTGCAGTGTGTGCGCCGTGCCCGGTGCTGGTGGTGCGCATGGCGCCAGAGGAGGAGCAGATGCGCCTGCAGTGCAACCGCCCGCGCCGCATCGCGATAGGGCTTGACAGGAGCGAGGCGAGTGGCGAGGCGTGCAAATGGGTGCTGCACCATGTGTGCCGTACAGAGGACCGCCTCTACCTGCTGCATGCCGACCGAGAACCTAGCTATGCCATGCAAGGTTCGATGGTTTATGGGAAATGTGACCGACGGTTGGGGGTTGAGGACAATGGTGTGACCGTGGGGAATGTTGGCAAGGTGGTCTTCATTCTCCCCGATTTGCGTACGGGAAGATTCGTGCATGGTGTGCAATGTTCTTGGGATTTTGCGGTTCTAGGTCTGTTTCCCTTGCTTGACGTCTGCTTTTCCAGCCACTCTTAATACCCCCCTCCGCTTTCCATATGCGCACATTGTAACCAGACCGCATGCTAGCAGCTGATGGGAAAAAGACAAATGACATGGTGATGCGGCCGCACTTTGATGCCCTCATCTCCCTCGCGTTGCAAACAAAGGTACCACCCTTCCTCTCCTTGACCCCTCCTTTCAGCCGTAACAGCAATATCTTGCGAATCTCCTGCAACCTCCGCTTTGTGGCTCTCTTCTTTTTTGTGTGGGACTGCAATTTGACCTCTTAGTTCCCCACATTTTAATGCATCTGTCCACCTTTTCGTTCTCAGGGGGCATCGTTTGAGGTTTCCACGCATGTGCTTGAGGGCGATCCTCGCCCGTTACTGGTGGAATTCTGCGAGCGCAATCATATCGATTTGCTGGTTGTCGCAACAAGAGGAACAGGCTCAGTTCGCGGGTAAGTTGTTTGGTGGTGTATATATGGTACATGTACCGTAGTTTTTTTTTTTCTAGGTGTTTCTCCAACCCTGACGCAATGACCTGCTCTTTGTTGCTTGAGCAGGGTTGTCCTTGGAAATGTGAGTGCATACATGGTGCAATATTGTCCTTGCTCCCTTCTCCTATATCGTCAGAAGACAAAGCTGATGTCTCCTTGACTACTGGCACCCTCTTTCATATAGCTAGTGACAAAGCCCTTGTACTTCTGTCACTATTACTAGTGTTTTTTTAAGGATGTGTAAGTCTGGTTGTGTTGATTTGGCACTGTATAAGCAAAGTGTAGGTTCGCCCGGTTCTCGCGTTTCGCCATCGTCAGCATGGAGCAATTCTCAAGGGTCGCGTTCAGAATCGCCATGAGCTGCTTGGCGGCGACGCCTGTCGTCGTTTCTGATGCGCGCGAGATTTTGTGGCTCAAACTGGTTCAGCCTGGTTACCGCGACACGCGATTACCCCCGCATCACTTCGCCCCTGTTTTCGTCCCTCTCTGCACTCGTTTCGCACGCTCATTCCTGATCTCTGTGCAGCCGCAGAGCCGAAGAACAGTGCCGCCATTTTCTGCTCCAGAAGGGACAGTCATGTCCCATCGCTTACCACACTTGCTCGTAGCTCCTGCCAGTCATCCTCACTCAAGTTTTTTCTCACCGTCGTAGTTTATAGTCTGGTCGGTCAGCGCATTTCAACTCACCCACTCCAGTTTCCACTGCTTCTCAAGGCTCTCCTGCTCTCAGTGCAACCCCCGGCTCTGCGCGTGTGTATTCTCCGTATTCGAGCTTTCTCGGGCTTTCAACAGCTTATCTCGCAACTAGCTCTTCGAAGTGCAATATGGCCGGATCTGCGATGGTGGTAGAGAACTCCGTCTTCTCTTCGGCTAACCTCTTCAAGCCTAAAATTCACCCGGATGAGTACGAAGCTGGAAGCGTATTCGACAACTCATTTCACACGCCTACCTCGAATCCGGCCAAGAATGGCGTCAACGTCGCACGGAAGACGCTCGTCACGAAATGGGGTCTTCCCTGGGCGTCTGGCAACTCCGACGCAAAACGCATGGATCTCGACACGGGTGGCGGTCTGGTTCATCAACAAAATGACGTGCGCGGATTTGACGGAGAAACGCGTCCAATGGATAGTCCCATTTTCATGGCGCCAAGCTTCTTGGCCGACGCGGGAAGCATCCGCGTTCTGCAGTCGCAGTCGTCGCTTGCTTCGACCGGACGCGCGGGAATGATAGACGGCGAGATTCAGCAGCTCATTCGGGATAAGCGGCTGGAGGATCCCTTTTACGTGATGGACATTGGGGAACTCGTCCGCCTGTTTACGGTGCGCATCACTTCTTTTATCATTAAATTTGATTTCTTGTTCATCCTCGTGCTAAGCTTCCGTTCTTGAACATTGGAGAATCATTCTGACAGGCGGTCGTCTTATGTGGTTTGTTTCTTCTTGTAGGGATGGACAAACGCCTTTCCCCGGGTCCACCCTTTCTACGCGGTGAAGTGCAACCCGTCGCCGCTGCTCCTCTCCGTGCTTGCATCTTTAGGAGCGGGATTCGACTGCGCGAGCAAGGCCGAGATTTCTCAGGTCGGTTTGCAAGATGCTGTCGCAAATCACTTACTCCTGCAGTTTTTGGCTTTGATGCTGACCGTTTTCGATGCTGCTCCTTTGGCAGGTTCTGAGCATGGGTGTGTCGCCTGATAGCATCATCTTCGCCAACCCCTGCAAGATGCCGTCGCACATCACCTACGCCTCGCGAGTGGGTGTGCGTGCGACCACGTTCGACTCTGAATCCGAGCTTGTCAAGGTACAAATCCTGACTCATGAAATAAGAAATTGCAGCTCAATCATTCTCGTTTTTTCCTTCCTGTTTTTTTTTTCTTGGATCTAATGCGCTCAAATGTTGGAACACAGGTGCACGCGTTGAACCCGTCTGCGGTGGTGCTGCTCCGTCTGCAAGCCAACGACTCCACGGCTCGATGCAACCTCGGCGTCAAGTACGGCGCGCTCATGCACGAGGTGCCTTCTCTCCTCGCCGTCGCGGCGCGCCTCAAGCTCCACGTGGCGGGAGTGTCTTTCCACGTCGGTAGCGGCGCGGCCGATCCCGCTGCCTTCACCCGCGCCATCGCCGCGGCGCGCGACGTGTTCGACATGGCCGCTGATGTGGCACGAGCGGCCGGCACGCCTGCCATGTCGGTGCTTGACGTTGGTGGCGGATTTACGGCGCCTGGGACGGGATGCTCTGGCGGGATGGCTTTTGACGCCGCAGCCAATGGTGGGTTACCTGAATCCCTTGATTTACCCTGATCCGTTTTTTTTTTTTTTTTTTTTCCGCTTTATTCTTTCCTTATTCGCGTTCCTAGCTCCTGTTTGTGTAGATTTACTTGCTGGTAATCCTTTTTTCGCTTCGTTTTTCAGCGTGCTAATAAGTTTATTTTTCCTTTCACTGCAGCGATCAACTCGGCGATTGACCGTTTCTTCCCGGAAGCCAGCGGCGTGACGGTAATCGCGGAGCCCGGCAGGTACTTTGCTGAGACGCCCTCGACGCTCGCGACGTGCGTCTTCGGCCGTCGGGTACGCGGCGAGCGGCGCGAGTACTGGATCAACGACGGGCTGTACGGCTCGATGAACTGCGCGCTCTACGACCACGCGACTGTGCGCGCGCACCCGCTTGCGCGCGCATCCGTCGCACCGGACGGGTCTTCCGCCGACGGCGGGATTGATGGCGGAAAGTTTGAGGTTATTGACGTGAGCGGCGGCGGCGGTGGGGTTGACAAGGCGGAAGTTGGGGAGGGCTTGCCTCCGGAGGCGGAGTGCGGGGGAAAGCGCAGGAAGGGCGGCGGAGGCGCGGGAGCTTTGCGCGGGGCGAGCGGAGCGTCCTTCCCGTCGACGGTGTTCGGTCCCACGTGCGACGGGCTGGATATGGTTCTGCGCGACGAGGCGCTGCCTGAGCTGGCGATCGGTGATTGGCTGGTGTTTCCGAACATGGGCGCGTACACTGCAGCGGCTGGGTCCAGCTTTAACGGGTTCGCGACCGGGGAGATTAAGACGTATTTGGTGTACACCGTGGAAGGAGAGGAGGAGCACGGCGGCAAGGCGGGCCTGGCGGCGGCAGGGATGAACGGCGGAAGCGGAAGCGGGAGCGGAACGTTTGAGGGGATGAGCATGAGCGGGATGCTGGGAGGGGATGACAACGGCATGGCGGAGGCAGGGGGGTCGCCGGGGATGTGCCTGGCGCGGTCGGCGTCAGAGGAGATGCTGCACACGCCGCGGAGCTCTGGCGGAGGCAGCAGCGACCGCGGGAGTCTGGGCGGCGTGTGCGACGCGGCTGGCAGTGAGAGCATCTGAGGCGGAACGGAAGGAGGAGGATGATGCATAATAATCAGCAGCAAGTTTTGGAGGAGAAAAATGCTGGAGGTCTTACGAAAGCTGCAATAAGAGCGTCTCGGTATTGGTTAGCTGTGAGACGTTCCTCATTAGGGCCTGCAATGTGCAAGAATTCTTTTGTTTGTATGTATTGTTTATATTGCAAGGAGATTATGCATTACATTTTCCAAGCAGCAAGCCATCCCAGTACATGCATGGCAACAAAAACTAACGCATGCACATAGTGCAGCTCAAAATTGTCAACTAGACCAGCAAGTTGCAAAGATCCTTTGTGCATGCATGCCTGAAGATCAGAGTCCATTATATCATGGGCACTCTCTGCTCTTCTGACGTGTCAGCTGCAGCACCGCGGTAGTGAAGTGCAGCTGTAGTATGACCATTACCTAAATAAAAATCATCGTCTCTGTACCCGTCGTCAATACTGGTACCAGGAGCAAAAGCTCCTGTTGCAGCACTCTCTCCCGAACCTTCCCCTCCCATCCCTTCACCTGCACCACTCTCGTCCCCATGTTCAGGATCCTTGTCCAGGTACGGTGCATTCTGGCTGTGCTCGTGGATGCTGCTGCTGCTGTTATCGCCATGCAGATCCAAAAAGCGGGATTTCTCCATCTCGTCGTGCTGTTGTCTGCGGCGGTGCTGGTGGCGCAGAATGAGTGCGATGACGCAGCACATGGCGATGGCAACCAGGAAGGTGAAGGAGAGAATGATGGTTGTCACCCATGTGCCCGTGACATCCGTGACTGCTGGTTCAAACTCGGTTTCTGGAATGTGGGGAATTGGAGGGTAGGGTGGGAGGGAGAGGGAGAGGGAGAGGGAGAGGGAGAGAGAGAGGGAAAAGGGGCAGGATGAGGTTGTGGAGCAGGCTCAGAAGCATAAATTTACCGAGGAAGGCGGGCTTACAGAACGAGGTTGGCTGAACGGCAGGGCAAGCAAGCGGAAACCAGTGGGAGCTAGACGACCAGCTTTGCTTGTAGCAGGAACTGAACATTCCCAGCAATCGGTGACAAAACCACTGACCGCGTGGAGCAGGAGGGGGCGGGGGAGCCACACATGTGGCACACGCCAGGGACACGTACACCACCCCTGGGATGTCCACAACCGCCACACCGCCTGATATGACTGCAGTGGGGTTGCGCCTGTGTGAGCCCGTGGCAGTGGGTTCTTGTGCGGCAGGCAGCGAGAAGTTGGCGGGGCAGAGTGGGAACTCGGCGACGGTGGAGGTGTAGAGGAAGAAGTGGCGCTGGTATATGCCGCACTGCTTGCACTGCTCGTGGCCCAGCTGTGTCACCGGCTGTTGGTGGGATGCGTGCGGGGGTGGGGACCGAGGGGGAGTGGGGAGCGATGGAGGGAGTGGAAGAGGGGAAGGAGGTGGATGAGTCAAGTTGGGGTAGGGGAGACGGAGGAGTTACGGAGAAGTGGTAACTGGGAGTGATCAGGGGGGATGATTTGAAGGACAGGTCAGGTGGAGGGGGGAACAAAAGACGCTTTCAGTGAAGGATCAGGTGAGATAGATATGACAAGAGGCAACAGAAGCTGGCACGCGGGTGTGTGCTTGCAATCACTTCACTGCCTATCATTCCTGCCTTGTTGACATGCTATGCAACAAGTGCCTTTCTTGTGCTTGTCCCCAATCACGCCTTCACAACTTGAGGTGCTCCCATATACTCTGCTCCGCCCTTCGCTCACACACCTTCGTGAATGGTGATTCCATGTGCCCACCTGCCTACCTCCTGCCACGTGCCACCCGCCATGTGCCTACCTGCTGCCGGCCACGTGTCTACCAGCCACCGGGCACTGGCCAATCCTGTGCGCACCTGCCATGGCTCGGAGCCAGAGAAGTCGACTTTGGTGAGGATGCTGTGGACTTGCGGCAGGGCGATGTGCGACGCGTCGTCCTTGCACGAGAAGAAGACGCTGGGCGGCAGCACCATGCCCGTGTCCCTCATTACAGTCACGCTCTGGAGAGTCACGTTGAAAGGTCCTCTTGCTGCTGCTGCCGCCGCTGCTGCAGCTGCTGCTGTTGTTTTTGCTGATGCTGCTGCTGCTGCTGCGACCACTGGGGAGGGAAACGGGTGACAGAGAACCGGGTTGTTGTGAAAATTGGACATGGATTGGGATTGTTGGGGACAGGGTGGGGGATGGGCGGAATTGGGAACATACAGAGACGGAAATGAGCAGGGGAGAACGGGCAGAGCTTACTTTCAAGCAGCAGCACAACTAGGATTTTGGGGAGGAAGCGCGGGATGCACGTCATGTCCCGTTGCATCTTGACACGTGTCCCGTCCACGGACTCGCCCGCCCGGGATTTGAGTAATCCTACGCCCTTCTAACGACGGAGTTGCGAGGGGACCGAATCTAAGCAGGGTCGACCAATTCGCGCCCACCCGAATCTGAGCGCAAGGAAGCGAGAAGATATTGGAATCCTTTTCTCCAGCTCCCATCGACTAAATAAACTGATAGTGGCTGCTGCTGCTGCTGGCTCGCACGAAAGCGGCGATTCTGGATTACTCCCAGCTTACATCTCAACGCCAACTAGCGGACTCGCGTGCCACGCGAGCGAAAAACATCTGCCCGAAATCCCGAAAATTTCGACGAGACAACAATGGCAATCGACAAGGGCACGCGCACTGCTACTGGCGCGACTCCAGGATCCTCAATGGAGAAGACACAAGCAGAATGAGAGGGAACAACTGTGGGTGGGGTGGGGGATGAAGGGCACTGGTGGAAGGCAAAAGGTGGGAAGAGGGGCAGGATCAGCAAAGTAGCATGCTTTGATTTGATTTGTTTCTGTGCGGTCGTGTGCGTTTTGGACTGATTTGGTACTTTGTGGTGTGATGCACCTGACCTGACAGAAGTGCGCCATACGGTGCTAGTGGTTTCGTTCTGTTTCGCTATGTTCCAAATGGGTAATGTACGATAGCATAGTTCTTCCTTTGGGTTCAGAATTCAACCGCACGCGACGAACGCGCTAAATGCAGCATCGCATCTGGACAACCTGTTTTAGGGAGCGGGAATCATGGAAAATGCGGGCGTAGCCATGTATTCGGTGATGAATGCTTTAGGTATAGAATGGGCTAAAAGATGTTATACGGAATGCACCTTCACATCACAATGCCCCTCCGTTTCAGAAGGAGCCTGACGTTATTATGGCACTACTGTTACATATTAGCAACCAAGAACAATAAAAGGAGGTAGCAGGTGATCCTACGGCAACAAACCAAGAGGCTATACACTTACATCCAACAGTACCTACAAGCCCAGGATAATAAAAATTTACCCACCATAAGGAACACTATGCATCACATTCACAAACTGCACCCATATTAAGCTCCAAGCACCATACCCATCTCCCCTTCGTCTTCAAAGCTGAACCTCATAACATGCCACCCAGACCAACTCTCATGAAGAGGTGTCCATGGCATTTAAAGCCATATCAGAGGGCCGCTTCGGCCCACTCATGCGGTGGCCAATAGCCGCAGCAGCAGGGCGGTCCATCCACGCAAGGCACATGGCAGCCGTCCAGGAGAAGTTTGCTCCACCCGCCCCTGCTCCGGTCAGTGGGTCAAAGTATTCGTGCAGCCCGGCTTGCGATGTGAGGTGCAGAGAGCTGTTGCGCACCTTCTCGGCTAGCTCTGATAGCCTGCACACCGGCACACAACAAAAAGGGCAGAAACATGATCAACGTTCTCGTCTTCACAACTCTTCTCCATAACAAGTCAAAAGAAACTCCGGCGGGGCATAAACCATCACCAAGAGCGCTCCTCCCGGCTTGAGTCCGTTGGAGACCATTCAGTTGATAACGAGCCACACGGGCTTGTGTGCGCATACCACACCTGTCAAGGGACTTCCAAGGAGACTAAACCATCAGCAAGAACGCTCATCCTGGCTTACCCATAGTGCTCGAGTCCGTTTGAGACCATCCAGTTGATGATGAGCCACACGGGCTTGTGTGCGCATACCACACCTGTCCAGTTACTTTTAAGGAGACGAAACCATCACCAAGAATGCGCATCCCGGCTTACCCATAGTGCTTGAGTCCGTTAAAGACCATCCAGTTGATGATGAGCCACACGGGCTTGTGTGCGCATACCACACCTGTCAAGGGACTTCCAAGGAGACTAAACCATCAGCAAGAACGCTCATCCTGGCTTACCCATAGTGCTTGAGTCCGTTTGAGACCATCCAGTTGATGATGAGCCACACGGGTCCGCGCCAGTAGCGCAGCGCCTCAAAGCGCGGGTCCGAGGGGTCGGTGCTGGGCACACCGTACGGCACCTGCTCCTGCCACCGCTTCAGCGTCACTGCCAGCTTCGCCGCCTGCTTCTTTGTTGCCGCTCCTGCATGGGAGGTGGAGGAGAGGGGGAAGGGGGGAAACAGAAAAGGTGGGTCCTGAGAGCACTCTACAATACATATTCACCTGGTTGCGGCATCACTGACAGCCGCGCCGCCTGCTTCTTTGTTGCAGCCCCTGGATTGGAGGGGGGTCAAGGAGGGTGGGCGGCAAGATGGAAGGGGCCCAGGGAGAGTAAGGGAGAGAAGGGAGAGTAAAATAGGGGTCGAATCTGGAGAGCAAAAGCAAGGGGCAAGGCTAAGGAAAGAAGAGAGCAAAACACTCGTTCCCATCAAAGCGCATGGAGGAGCAATGGTGGCACACAAAGCAACTGGTTCCGGCGGTCTGCACGCAACCCCCAGCCTCTTATGAAGCCATGCCCAACTCGGCGCACATGCCTGCCTCGGACTTGCAAACAGTGGGAGAAAGCCACCGGGTCTTAGAGTCAAGCAGCTTGCAGGTGAGCTTGGTCCTTGCACTCTCATCCCACAGCATGTCAAATCGGAAGTGGTCTCTCAACTGGGCTCAAAACTAACCTGCAAAGAGCGGGAGGAAACCCGCGGAAGTCTTGGCATCAAGCAGCTTCCCCGTGAGCTGGTCCTTGCACTTGAAGATCCCATCATGTTCATCCCACAGCGTCTCGAACCCGCGGAAGCCTGCATCAAGCCAGCCTTCAATCTCGGCGGCCACGTCCTCGTGGCCGAGCTTGAGTGCGAGCCAGCGCAGGTCGCGATTGGCGCGCAGCAGAATGGAGTTCACGCACAGGTCCGTGACGCGGAAGGGCGAGATGTGGTACAGCTGCGACGAGTCGTAGAAGTTGGTGTTCTTGAAACTGGCCGAGGGGAGGGAGAGGGGAAGGCGTGGGAATGGTGTGGGGGGTAAGAGAGCAGATGGAGGGGCTGAGGAGGGTGTACTGGCATGGGGGAGGAGAGTGAGGGAAGTATTGAGAGTGTGGGAGGGAATTCGCAGGAGGCAAGAGTGTGCATACGAGTAGAGGAGTGTGGGGTAACAGTCGTAAGTGGCCTTGTTTGATGAACAATCAGGTATGTATGCACGCTCTGAGTGATGTAAAGGCAAAGTGTGCGTACGTGTAGAGGAGTGTGAGGTAGCGGTCATAAGTGGCCTTGTCGGGGCGCATGGCAGCATCAACGTGTGTGAGGTCGCGGCGCTGGTAGGGCGGCAGGTCGATGATGGGGAACTGCATTGCCTCGTCCCACGCAGGGCTGTTGTCCATGCCGCTCTCCCACGGGTGCAGGATCGCTACCACGCCCGTGCCCAGTGGGTCACGCGCCTGGAGGGGCAGCACATGGTTGGGGCATGATCGTGGGGGCGGGATAGGATGAGGAATTGTACAATGCTATGCTGCTGTTGTCCATGCTGCTCTCCCACGGGTGCAGGATCGCCACCACGCCCGTGCCCAGCGGGTTGCGCTCATGGTGGGGGCAGCACACAGTGGGTGGGGCATGAAAATTTGGGGCGAGTGAGAATGACGGAAGGTGGGAGGGGCATCATAAGGTTTGGTGGGGTATCACACACGGTTGGGGCTTAAAGAGTTGGGGCGAGTTAGAATGAGCAACTGTACAATGCTGTGTTGCATGGGAATGCTGTTCTCCATGCCAGCTGCACGGATGAAGCGCATTGGATTTTTCCCATTTTTTTTCTAAAGTTGTTGTGGGGTTCCCCGCATCACCTCCTCAAGTTCTTGCCAAAGCCATCATCTTCCCAAAAGCTATCTCCATCACCCACCTTGTACCACCAGCGGTGCCACGCCAGCAGCTTCGGAAACAGCAGCTCCATCTTCTCTCTAGCAAGCTCCTTATCCACAGCATGCTCATACAAGAACCGCACAGACAGCGTGGCCACAGGCGGCTGGGTGATCCCCGTGGAGGGGCTGGGGCGCTCCTTGCTGCCCCAGATCTCGGGCCCCGGGAAGTAGGAGTCGGTGGGGCGGTGGAAGAGGATGGACGGCACCATGCCGTCGCTCCACTGCCCCGACATGAGCATCTCGATCTCTTGCCACGCACGCGGCTCGTCGAACACTGCCCAGCCTGCTGCCACGATGGCGCTGTCCCAGTTCCACTGGAGGAGAGAGAGGGGCGAGGGACGACAACGAGGGAGAGCGAGCGGGAGTGGCAGGGAAGGGACTCTGAAAACGCGAAACGGAAGTGCGCATGCCCCAACGATGGACGGACATGAAAGGGGGAAAGAGTCATGTCTAACGCGGGAACCGGTAGCGAGATGACTCTTGAACCGAATAAAAAAGACTAACCGACGGACGGACAAGTGGATGGGCGGACGGACGGGCGAACGAACGGACGGGCGGACGGACGGACGGAAGGACGGGCGGAGGGACGGGCGGACGGAAGGACGGGCGGAGGGACGGGCGGACAGACCTGGAAGGGGTAAAGGCCTTGCGTGGGGATGGTGTAGCCGCCCAGGTCGTTCTCCCGCAGCACGCGCATGGAGTGGTCCACTATCGCGCGGCGCCCTGGCGGCAGCTCCGAATCCTCCAGAATGCTGGCGGATGGATGGATGGATGCCGGGGGGGGGAGGAGATGCAGCAGAGGGCATTGGTGGGACGAGGTTTGAGACGCTTCATACCTCGACGGGCATGATTGGCGAGAGCGAGGAGAGAGGGCATAGTCGGGAAGAGAAGAGAGCATGGGAAAAAAGGAGGATAGATGCGATGAAGAGAGAGGGCGAGACAGATAGCGAGGGAAGGAAGAGACGTATGGAGAGGACCTAGGGGATATACAAAGAGTTCCGGCGGAAAGCAAAGAATGTGCTTGCTGATATTTATTTTCGCAATAATGGAGTAGTGGCAATTAGGCGCACTCCATCACCCAGTGATTTGCACATCGGGTTAGCGTGGTGTTTGAGTTCTCTCAATAACGATAGCTTCGCACACACTTGTCTGTAGAGTTTCTTGCTTCGCGTGCATCGAGCACGTGCACGTGCACGTGCGCAGCACACATAATTTATTTCGCGCGCACGTGCTCAGCATCCCCACGCCAACTCCGCTCGTTCCATCTCCAAATCCCATTCCCCCCTCACCCATCCCCTTTTCACCCCCTCCCCACCAGAAACTTACCTCCAATTGCACCCCATCCACAACCTAGACTCCAACTTACCCGGGCGTCACGAGCGAGAAGAGGTGTCTCAGGCTGCCGGCTCGCCACTGCGCCTGGTCCGACGGCGATTTCATCAGCGCACCCGCCACCACGCCGTTCGTTCCCTTGCTCGCCGCGATACCGCCACCACCGCGGGGCTGCATGTCCATCGGCAGTGCCGACACGTCGTCGTTCGACCACCCGCGCGACATCCCAGCGACCGCGACGGCATCGCTGGGCGAGCCGCCACCGCTGCCGCCGCCGCCGCCACCACCTTGTTGACTCAAGGGCTTGTTGATAATCCCGTTCTTGCCCCGCTCCGCCATTTCTGCTATAGCGCGCGAAGCCCCTAACTCCTCCGAATGCTCCATGTCATCGATTGGATCCCTCCACGTCAGCTTGTTGCCGTTCCTGCCGGCGGGGAGTTTCCCTCCACCGGTCGCGGAGATGGCGTCGGAAAGCCAGGGCGCGCAGGCGAGGCAGGAGGAAAAGAGGCGGAAGAGGGTCGACGGGGACGGGGGAGGCAGAGACGCGCGGATGAGAGGTCCCGGCGCGGAGGGAGCGGCGGAACGAACGACGAGGGTTTCGCCTCCCCCGGGCGGGAGATGACCGACGTCGCCCATGTTGATTGCTGGTAGATGAACCGTTGGGTCGTGGAGCTCTGTGGTAGCAGTGGTCGTGTCGCAGAAGCTGCAGCTAGCACGCGTTAGTGTGAGTTACCACGCGTTAGCAGTGGGCGTACGGGCGCGCCGGCGAGTGTTGAAACGCGTTAGTAATGCGCGTTACAAAGCGTCAGTGCAGTTGACTGGTACAGAAGCGTTCGCTGTGAAGGGTTATAATCGCCAGACTGAGCGACGCGCGACGCGTCGGCGCGAGAAGTTCTGCTTACAAACTTCCCGTGAGCAGCGACCAGCGAGCGGAGACAGGAAACTTTCTCCACCACGGCAGGACGGGCTCGCAAAGAAGCGAGACACCGGAAGAATTAGCGAGTCCGATCAAATCAATGCTGGCAGAATCTGGCGGCATGAGTGTTCGGTACCAGTTAGTATTCGTCAAACATGAGTGCGTGTTGCGCACACAAGGAGGAGAACACTGATGGTGAGACACCCAATGATGATAACCCTGGGCTTCTCGCGGTCCCCTCCCCAGCATCCACAGGGTGGCCGGGTCGTGGTGGTCCCAGGAGAGCGAACCAGGTGCGACCACAATCTGAGGAACGAATCAGGTGCAGCTCTGATCGGGTAATCGCGTTGAGTCTACCGAAGCCCACGAGACCCAGTTATGCGGGCGGTCCCGAGGTTTCGCAGTGCTAAGGTTGTGCGATTGAGGAAGCATACGATTGTGGGTGAGCAGAAGCAGAAGAGGGACTCCCGATGCCGTTTCGAGAGAGTTGAGCTGAGACAGAATCAAGAGTGAAATGAAGAGGGAGGGACGTAAGTGGAACGCGACTTGGTGATGCAGAATTGAGTCTAGAGAGTTCCCCTCTGCAGCAGGCTGTCGCTTGGGAAATGGATTGACTTGGTTGGGAGGGAGAGATATTACATAGGAACCGAATCCGAAGCTGCGATGTGAATCATCTAGGTCGTGGTTCGAAGCGACTCCGGGTGACCGGGTGTTTCGGCTCGGAGTCGTTTGGCCGATGTTGTTGCCTCGGAATTGCCCAGCTTCTCCCGTGATTCGTGAATGCCCCGCTCGAAGCCAAGAAAACGTCGCACAGATTAGCTTTGCCAAGCCATTCACAGCGACAGCAGTACGTATGTACAAGACCTGGTTCAGTTCCTGGTGAGGCAATGAAGGGGCGGGTCTCGTAGTCGCGCATATGTGGCATGCACTGATTGCTGAACACCAGTTTTTGTGAACCGATGCCCCGAATCGATGGAGCTGCCCCATGAAGTGTTATCAAGGGGCGCTACCAGCCACTCGGACGACACGCGTGTGGCGCATCTCGTGACGTAATGTCTCTTGTGAATCAATCACAAATGTCCACGTGGAATTTACTTGCCAATCAGTGATGATGACAGTTTCACAAGTAACCAATCATCTCATTTGTGAAACCCTCAGGCTCATCCTTTGCGATTCGCGATTCGCGATTGGCGAACCCAGAAACATGCCTACGGCTTGGGGCTGTTTCGTGCACGCAAGAGAGGAGAGAGGAGGGGAGTTGAGTGTGGTATTCAAAACGAGCCCATAGATTCCGTTGAGGTGCATGAATGTTGGGATTTATACACAATGGATAAGTGCACACTTGCAGTAAATACAATCAACATGTCAACATACCTTTTCTGTATATTACTACTCAGAAACCGCAAAAACAAAATGTTGTCCGTATTGTGTGCTACCGCCAGCTGTAGCAACGCAGCAACTGCTACCCATAGGGATTCTGATTAATGAACGTCCATGGCCATTCTAACAACGAATTTCATAGGCCCCTGCCCGCGTGATGTAACGCACCCACTCCACTGTGCTGTAACCACTCTTCTCCCACACCTGTCACAAGCATCCCAAGGAGGGTCAACATAAGGGCAGAAAATTCCGAGCGACATGGAAGGGGACAAGCACTGCAGAAATAGGCTTCACAGATAAGAAGCCATAGACAATGGAGAAAGCATCTAGAGGATCAAGAGGAGAATAACAGCGGCAGTCATACCTTGAGGAAGCGCACTCGTAGCCCAGATGCAGTGAACATGGGCACCTGCATGATGGCATGGAACAAGGCACACAAGCAATGCTTTAGTGTGAAATCACAGCCGAAGAGCAACTGGGCCAGAAATGAAGCCAAAAAAGGTCCTATTCCAAAATAAACCCATAACTATGACACAGTCAGCATCAGTACATGAGCAGTGGCTTGACTTGAAGCTGACACCACGCTGATGCTTACCTGGCAATCATCTAACCACGTGCTTACCTGGCAATCATCTAACCACGTGCTTACCTGGCAATCATCCAGGCACGTGCTTACCTGGCAATCATCCAGGCACGTGCTTACCTGGAACTCCATCTGAATGGGAGGGCGTGTGCCTTGCTTCTTGTCGACCATTGTGGAGATCAGCTCCACCTCTGCACTCATGCTCAGCTCCGTCTGCCCGGGGAATTTCTTTATTCTGCCCAGAGAAATTCAGGCGTGGGAAAAGGCGGGGTGGCGGAGGACAGGGGGGAGAAGTATGGAAGCGAGGGAGGGAAACAACCTTAAAAAAAGGAGGCCAGAAAGCGAATAAACAAAAACAAGGAGAATACGAGGACGAGTTCAGAAGCGAAACTCAGTCAGCAATTTAAAAAAAAAGTGACATCTTGGCAGTAACACAAACAAAGAACATTCCAGAAGACGCAGGACTCACTTCCAGACAATGGCGTCGACAGCGGCGTTGTACTTGGCTCGGCCGGACGTGACACTGAGGGAGGCCTTGGCCGTGTGCTTGGGCACGGGCACCTTGACTATCACGTTGAGGGCAAACATCTTGGCGCCAAACACACTCTTCACCTGCTCCCGTGTGCACGGGATGTGGGACGAGTGCACGAGAGTGGCGAGACGTTAACATGTGGACGTGTTGTGCGTGCGGTACATGGAAAGGTGAAGTGCAGGGCAGGGAAGGGATGATGGTGCAAGGACGAGGTGAGGGAGTGTGCAGCAGGAGATGCAGGAGAGGGAGGGATGGCAACCAAACAGAAGGCCCCATCCACAAAATCTGGAACCAAGGGCATAAAACAAACACAGCGGGACGTGCACACAAGTCACGGACACGAATAACTGAATACTACTCAGTTCAATCTGCACGTTCAAATTGCCACTATTGGACATCTGGTTTGGCACCTTGACGTTGACTTCAAAGCGTGTGCGGCCGAGCTCCTTGATCATGGGCAGCACTCGGAACGGCAGGTTGATGCCCTCTGTGATGCGGTACCTGCATGCATGGCAGTGGGGTGGTGGCGAGGCACGCAGGTGAGAGTGACGACGCTGAAGGTGTGAAGGGGCAGGCAGGCGGGCAGGAATGACCAGTACAGAGAGTGGGCCAACAAAGCAGGGGAGCAGCAGGAGGCTACGAGCCGGCGTGATGAGAATGGGGACGAGATGGATGGGCTTAGATGATAGGCGGGAAGGAGTTTCAAAGGAAAGAGCGGAAAGAACAGGTAGCAGGTACCGTTTCTTCCAGCGCAGCAAAGCACCAAACCCCACCCAATCCACTCTTCCCTCACCACCACAGCCCCCTCTCCCCAACTCTCTCCCTCCAATCCACACAAGTAACCCATGTTCCCTTCCATTTTCCCCCACCCAAATCCGTTCCCCCTTCCCCTTTCCCCCTTCCCCCTTCCCCCTTCCCCCTTCACCCTTCCACTTTCCCCCTTCCTCTTCCCCCTTCCCCGTCCCCTGCTCACTTCATGAGCTCAAACTCCCCATCGGGGGGCACGAAGCTGACGGTCTTCTCAGTGTTGAAGCGCGCGAGGTTCACGCACTGGTGGAACACCACGTCGTCCAGCTCTATGGTCTTGCCACTGGGGGCGGAAGGGGAAAGGGAGGGGGGGAGAGCGGGTAGAGGGCGTGAGAGCAAGGTCTGGAGAGAGACAAACCAGTCGTGTCAAGGTTGACGCACTGGTGGAACACCACGTCGTCCAGCTCTATGGTCTTGCCACTGGGGGAGTAACGGGGAAAGGGAGGGGTGGAGAACGTGAGAGAAAGAGGGCGTGAGAGCAAGGCTATAACACAGACAGGACAGGAGAGGACAGGAGAGAGGTCTCGAGGTTCACGCACGCACTGGTGGAACACCACATCGTCCAGCTCTATGGGCTATGGACAGGACAGAGGTCTATAGTCTTGCCGCTGGGGGCGCATGGGAAGGGAGAGGGGGTTGCAGAGGAAGACGTGAGAGCAAGGATAGAAAAGAGACAGGAGAGACGTCCCGAGCTTCACGCACTGGTGGAAACCATATGCCCAGGTTGATAATATTGCTGCTCGGAACGCACGGATCATTCTCACCCACCACACCCCCCTATCCCCCCCCCCCCCCCCCACGCTCCTCTTTCCTGCCACCTTCTCACCCACCACGCTCCTCTACCCCTCACCCACAATCCCCCACCCCTCCCCCACCCTCCTCTCCCCCTCCCCCTTCTCATCCACCACACTCTCCTACCCCGTCCCCACCCTCCCCTCCCCTTGGCTCACCTCCTGGCGGGGCGGGCGCGCATCTGCGCCTCGTTCTCGAGGCCGATCTTGTCGTTGAGCCCCAGCTTGAGGTCCGGCATGCCCGATAGGAAGCACTTCATCAGCACCTTGCCCGTCACGTCACACCGCAGTATGGTGCCTGCGGGGGAAGGCGGGGGGGGTTGCGGGTGGGAGAGAAATGGGTAGGAAGAGAGGGGGAAAGTGTTAAGAGGGGGAAACGGGAAGAGGAAAGGGGAAAGGGGAGAAGGGGAGAGGGAGGGAGAGGGGCGGAGGAAGGGGGTGGGTCGTTGCTGTGCTGAATGCAGAGCACAAGGCTAGTCTGAAAATTTTACAATAACAGCTGCAGAAGGGAGGGGGAGGAGAAGAGGAACAGGCACGGGTTGCAAGAAGGAGTTGCAGCCCATTTAAACGATATTGAGAACTCTCAAAAACGAGGAGGAGGAGGAGCAGGAGGAGGAGGAGAAGGAGAGGAACAAGCACGGGTTGCAGGGAGGAGAGGAGGCAGGCGCACCTTTTTGTGACATGAGGAGGTTGACACTCTCCACAATATCCAAAAAGACCTGCCAAGGGGGAGGAGAGACACACACAGACACAGGCAGACGACAGACAGACAGGCAGACACACGTCCCCCCCACCCCCACGCCCACTTCCCCCCAACACATTCCCCCACAAGCATGCGTGCAGACGAGTCATAAAAGGGCACGCAGGGTTGGGACTAGGGCATTGGGCGGAGTTATGGGAGGACGACACAGCACGGGAAAGGAATGGCAGGAGGAACCAAGCAGGGATATTGGAGAGACGCGGGATGTCCCACACGAAGGAAGAGAAGCCGGTAGAAAATAAAAGGGGAGACGAGGAAGAGGCGGGAGGAGGGTATGAGGAATGGAGAAAGGAGGAAGAGGGGGGAAGAGGGGTGGGGGGGGAAGGTGGAAGACGAGTGGGCAAGGGACACTGAACGAGCAGCAACAGGTTGGAGTGAAGCAAAGCGGAACGAGCAGGAGGAGAATGAGGTGAGCGCACCTCGTTCTTCTTGTATACGAGCCCTTCTCTCCGCCACCCCACAGCGCCCGTGACTTGCAGCGTCGCATTGGCGGGCGGCCTCACCTCCTTCTCCTGCTCCACAGGGGAGAAAAGGGGTTGCAAGGCGGGAAGAGAGGGAATGATAGAGGAGGGATTTGAGCGTGAAAGAAATAAAAAAAGAAAAGGTGACAGAAGGGCGAAGGAAAATGCATGGCCTGCAAAGGAGTGATATGGGGGTGAGAATAAAGCCTGGCGCTTACCTTGGAGAAGGGCGACCTGACGCCCTCTTGTGTGATGTACAGCTTGACGATCTCCGGAGATAGATTCTGTGGGAACCCGAAGTCCATGATCTCTGTACGACACAGAGGGATTGGGACCCACATGCCACACCACCATGGGGGCATAGAGATTTGGGGCACGCACACACACAGTCAAACATTCATGCGCAAACACGAGCGCACACACACGTGTGCGTGCATGCAAGCACACGCACACATGCACGCACACGAACACACAGGCATCCATCCCCCACAAACACATACAGACACGCGCGCCACTCCCCCCTCCCCCCCCCCTCCTCTCCCCCCACCACACATACATGCACTCACACGCATAAGAAGCAGCGTGCACACACAAGTACAGATGGAAGCAACACGCGAGCGTGAGCAACACAAAGAGCCGTCAGCTCACACGCACACACGAGCGGGATACTGAGGCGGAGGACGTGAGGGAGGAGGCAGCGCGTGTGTGGAATGAAGGGAGAGGCAGGGGGGCGGTGGGACGGGTGAAGCAAGGGCAATGGAGCAGAAGACCGGTGGGATATATACACCAAGTGGCGTAGACTGGCACTATGAGCATCTGAGCGTGAAAGCGTGTGAGCTTGGGGCGTGAGAGCATGTGAGGGGCTGCGCGGTGGTGAGCGTGGCGTACCATCAAGCAGCTCGTAGATGAGCACGAAGTTGTTGCGGATGGAGTCCTCGTCGAACGTGCCTCCGAAGTACGACTTGAACAGCGCCACCGCCTGCACGGGGCCAGGGGGACGGTACGCGGCGAACATACAGCCAGAGCAGATCGCATTGGAGCAGTGAAGCAGGCACAACGGAACAAGGCCTGATGTTTCGACTGTGTAGAAACATACCCTAGACGACAAATCACCAGTCCATGTAATCGGAAAACACTCCAACCACCGCCTCTCACCATTCCCCCCGCTACTGCCTTTCCCTCGCCATCATCCCCGCACACCCAACCCTCTTCCCCTCATCCCCATACGCGCACACAATCACAAGTCACGCGCGCGGCGGGCGGCGGGCGGCGGGCGGAAGAGCGAGAGCGAGAGCGCAGGCACGCACCTCGACGATGAACTTGAAGGCGAGCGCGGCGTTGGCGTTGCTGTTGACGACGATGACGATGTACACGTTGCTGATGCGCATGTACAGGAACGAGCAGTTGCCCATCTGCCTCACCGGACACGTGCCCAGGTCCTTGGTCTGCAGAATCTGCATGCGGAACGCATCCACCATGTTGCCGCTGCACGCCCGCGCGCACGCGCGAGGAAGGAGAGGGGGAGATGGTGGGGATGGAAGGAGCGGAGGAAAGGACGCGAGGGAGGGAGGGAGGGAGGGGGAGGAGGGAGAGAGAAGAGAGGGAGGAGGGAGCGGAAGAAAGGCAAGAGATTGCCGTCGTAAGGGAGTAATTACCGTCTGAATAGGTGAACAACTACAGGTTAACCTAAAAGGATCCTTCAAGAACTCCTTTATAAATAGGAGGTGATGCTGACGTGGTTCAAGAACGCACTTTGATACAAGGTGCAAAAACAGACATGAAAGAGGCGGCAGCAAAAGTGTGCGCTTTAACCAGCCTGAACAGATCTAGCATACATGCCGTATTCCACCTCGCGGAATTCAGGACACGGAAAACGATTACGACTGACAAATTCGCATTCGAATTCGCAACAACAAGACGATACTTTCCATGGCTTTAGACGCAGAACTTCTTAACAGCGTATCACGGATGTTCCATTAATTTCTCAAAAACACCCTGCAAACTCAAGGATGCACCCGCCGCGGGTAAGGATCCTAGCTCCATGCTTTGTTTTTTGCAACTCGATGCGACGCAAAAGCGACAAGCGACTTACCCGACGTCATCTCGGTAAAGCCGGTTGATGAGCACGTCCCCTCGCAAGTTTAGGAAATAGATCGCCGACGCCGCCACAGGCATGGTTCCGGCGGACGACGGGCAGAGCCCGCTCGCCGGCTTTCTGTTTAATGCTCGGCGAAAGCTAGCAAAGGCCAACGGCTGATGCGGAGTACTCGAGCCTAAATGGGACCTTCAGATTCAAGGTGTGCTATTACCGATATCGTTATCATAAGGCTGCATCAGGAGCACATCCGGCAAAGAGTTGAAAGCAAAGAGGAGACAGATCCACGACCAGCTGGCTGATCCGTTTCTACAGAAGGGCTTGCGCTGTTACCGCGGGAGAGCAACACTAGGCAGTCTCTAGGATCGCAAGTCGGCACTAAAATGGGGAGTGTGCTGACGCCCAGAGACTTGCAGTCTAGGGATTGTTGGCCGACATGAGAACCAGATCGGGCAGAACCTAGGTGAAAATGGAAGAATGCTGGGAGCCAAGATTTCAATAGACTGCAGCGCGTTACAGTGCACAAGATGTCGAAGAAACGTATGCTGTACCGAACATGCGTGGAATATTCGAATATAGCATTGTGAAAGCGGGAAGGGAAGGGGAGCGGACATGAGCAGAGCGGAGCGGACTGATAGCACAGTGCGGGGAAAGACTAGGCGCGAGGAACAAGAATGTGGAGCTCTGGTTCTGGTATGGCCTCTGTCCGTGCCGCTGGCACTGGGGGGGGACCACGCGCAGTGCTGCTGGGGGCCTCTCCGCTTGTCGGGGAATTCGGCTGAGGTCAGCTGAACAATTCGGCTTGGCGGGATTGGTCGGTGCCTCCACTGCGTGGAAGGAAGCTGTCGGGGAGCAGAGCGGAGAAAAAACCCGCAGCCTAGTTGCGGAGGTGGCCCTGATCAAATGCATGCCCTCGGTTGCGCCCAAATAGATAACGAGTGCCTGCATTTCTAAGGCACCGCTTCACTTGCAACCATGTACAGAACCTTTCCAAAATTATATTGTTAAAGCGACGGGCAACTTTTGGCAGTGTTGGGTTCAGAAGTTTTTTTTTTGAACCAGGCTTGCCAGCGCGAAAGTGCTGGCTGGCGAAAACCAGGATTTCGTGCGGACACTTTCCATCCGCAGTAACAGTTCGCCAGGGTTCTGGGTTTTGGGTGGCAAATGTGCACCGTCGCTTTAACCACAGTTATCAATGTCGAAGAAATTTCACTCCCAACCCAATCCACTGTAGTTCCTCGAGACCGCATCGTCGCCACGTCAGCTTAGGAACCTGAACGGCGAGAATAGGGACTTGGTGCACGCGCCCATCAGCTTACTCCTCGACCTATGATTCATTCGTACGTGCGGTGAACGCGCAAACCACACGAAGTAATTCTGCGCGTTCGCGTCGCGTCCAGAATGCGCGTGGTGTCGTGGAACATCAACGGGCTGCCGACCACATTCAAGGAGGCCGGCAGCAAGTACGGCTCCGTCGCCAACTTCTTCTCAAACGTCCTCCGCGCGGACGTGCTCTGCCTGCAGGTGCGTCCGACCAGCGTGGAGAACGTCCGCGTGGAGGGGGTGCTCTCACCATCCGCACCACGTCGACGCAGCAAATTCAGATACTGCCTATCCTTACCCCCTCCCTTCCCTCCTTTCCATTCCTACCCCCGCTGTCCCCTCCCCGCCCTCCCCTTCTTCTCCCTGTCCCGAAACCCCCTCCCACCCCCCACCCCCCCCCTGTCCGCCATGCTCACCCCCCATCGCATACCCCCCTGTCCACCTGTGCGGCAGGAGGCGAAGGTGGCGGAGGAGCGGGTGGAGCGCGCGTGGGCGCTGGTGGAGGGGTACGACTCGTACTGGGCGTTCAGCCGCGACAAGAAGGGGTACAGCGGTGAGCGCGCGCGCACACACTCGCAACCCCGCCTCCACACACACACACAGAGAACAAACACACACACACCACCACACACACACACATACACACACACACACACACACACACACACACACAGATGCACGCACGCACCCCCCTCTCTCCCCTCTCCCCCCTCCCCCCTACTCCCCCCCCACACACACAAACATGCGTCGTCACGTCAGCATGCCATGGCTATATATATTAGTGCTTCAAGCTTCCACACTCCCCACTCCATGCACCACTCCACCACGTCGCACCCCGCCCACCACCCCCACGGCAGGCTGTGTGACCTTTGTGCGCGACGCCTTCACCCCTCTGGACGCAGTCGCCGATGCTGTCGGCCCGAACGGCCTCGCGTGGCAGGCGAGGAGCACAGAGAGAACGCCCTGGGAGGGCATGGGGGGGCGTGTTGTTGACACGCCGGGCGATGGTGCCCCTGGTGGTGGGGGAGACGAGGAAACGGATGGCGGAAGGAGAGGAGAAGGAGTGGAGGTGATGGAGGAGGGGGAAGGGGAGGGGGAAGGGGAGGGGGAGGGTGACGGGGAGGAGGGGGAGGAGGAAGGGGAGGGGTCGGTGTGGAGGGAGGGGCGGTGTGTGAGGACGGACCATGGGCGGTTTGTGCTGCTGAACGTGTACGTGCCGAATGCAGGCGAGCACAAGCACGGCCGCCCGCGGCTGCGGCGCAAGATGGCGTTCCTGCGAGCCCTGCGCACAGAATGTGAGGTGGGCTGGCGGCCAGGAGGAGGGGGTTGGGGGCGGGAAGAGGGGTAAAGGAAGGGAGAGGGTTGGGTTGGGAATGGAATTTGAAGAGATTGGGTGGAATGTGTGCGAGTGGGCTTGAGATTCTGATGGTTTGCACACCATTGCTCAGCTCAGCTCAGCTCAGCTCAGCTCAGCCCTGATCTCTCCCCAACCCACCCTTCTCTCTCCCCACCGATCCCCATACCAGGCGATGCGATAAGGGCGAGTGGGCGGCACGTGGTGGTGGTGGGCGATGTGAACATCTCCCACCGGGACATAGACGTGTTCCACCAGTGGCGCGTTGACCACATCTACTGCCCTGGTCCGTGCGTGCCTCTGTGCATGCCTCCATGCATGCCTCTTCTGCTTGTTTTTTGTTTTTGCCCTCTCTTCTATTCACCATGCCATGCCTTCTGCTCAGCACATGCATGTCACCCCAAACTCAGCTGCACATGTTTGATTTTGAGGCGCCTCAAAACTGTTTGATGGCATATCTTGGCCCCTCCCACTCCCCATTCCTCACCAAGTGCTGCTGCCCTCGTGACTTTGAGACTCCACCGTCACCTCTCCTCCCAAGGCCTGCACTCCAACCTCACACCTCCTCCTTCCACGCTCTCGTCATCCTCTCCCCCGTCCCCTTCCCACGCCAGCGGAGCTGCAGTGGCTGGACGCCCTATTCGCGTGCCCTGGTGCGCTGCGCCCTACGTGGACCTCTTCCGCCACTCCCACTCCTGCCCTGCAACCTCGCACCGTCTCCCCCATCTCCTCTCTCTCCCCGTCCCCTCCCCCTCTCAGCGGAGCTGCAGTGGTTGGACGCGCTCTTTGCCTCCCCCGGTGCGCCCTACGTGGACCTCTTCCGCCACTTCCACCCCACCGCCGCCGGTGCCTTCACCGTGTGGGACCAGCGCACCGACGCGCGCAGCCGCAACGAGGGCCAGCGGTGCGTGCCGTGTTTCAGTCGACTGAATGGTCACCTCGCTGTTTGCTTTGGCCTTCCCATCCCATCCCATCCCATCCCATCCCATCCCATTCCAAACCACACATCCCCGTTCTCCTTCTCTTCCCATCCCATCCCATACATTTCGTCCCCTGCCCCGGCCCCGACTATCCTCCCAGCATTGACTATGCAGTGTGTGACACTGCCTTCCTCCCGCACGTCCTCTCATGTGACATCGTGCGAGTGTCCCCCAAGCAGTGGAGCGACCACGCTGCTCTCGCCCTCACCCTCTCTCATGACGCCTCCCCGCCGCTGCTGCCCCCACACCCCCGCCCGGCACTGTCCGCGCGCAACATGAGAAAGTTCCAGGAAGATGTGACGCAGAGGAAGCTGACTGCGATGTTTGGTGCGCGGAGGGGAGGAGGGCGGGGAGGAGAGGGAGGTGGGGAAGAGCAGGGAAGGGGGAGAGGGCAAGCGGAGAGGAGGGGGAAAGGGGGGGGTGATGGAAAGCAGGTGATGGGGCAGGGGGGGAAGGAGGGAGGTGGAGAGTTGGAGGACGGAAGAGGGAGGGGAGATAGGGAAGATATGGATGGGAAAGGTGGAGAGAAGGAAACAGAGGATGGAGAAGGTGTGGAGGGGAGGGACGGAAAGGAGGGTGGGAAGGTACCGAAGGGTACAGAGGGCTGTGGTGGCACTCGCACATACGTGAGGGTCGGTGGTGATGGTGGAGAGAGGCGTGCGTGTGGTGTCGGTAATTCCGGTGAGATGGAGGGGGAAGGCAAGGAGAGGGAAGGCAGAGAGGGGGAAGGCAGGGAGGGGAAAGTTGAGGGGGACGGCGCAGCATCAATTGGAGTGGCAAGGTTGGCAGTTGAAGGTGAAGCTGTATGTGCGGCTGCTGCTGCTGCTGCTGCTGCTGCTGCTGCTGCTGCTGCTGCTGCTGCTGCTGGCACAGCACAGGTGGCGGGGGGGATACAAGGAGAAGAGGGGTGTCAGGGGAATGATGGTGAGAGGGGGATGGGGGCTGGCAGTGAAAAGGGGGGAGCTTCTTCTGATACAGGGAGGACAGGGGGTGGTGGGGGGGGCGTCGAGGGGGGATGTAGAGACATGGGAGAAAGTACTGCTGCTCGTGGTGATGGTGATGTTGGCGTTGCTGGTGATGCTGCTGCTATCGGTGATGTTGACGGAAGGGAGGGGGGTGGTAACACACAGCATAGGCCTGCTGTTGACCAGGTGGGGTTGCACAGGAGCATTGGGACGCAGCAGACAGGCAAAGATGGGGGTCGGGGAGAGGGAGGGAGCGGTGATGGAGGCGAGGGGCGAGAGACAGGGTGCGAGAGAGGCCATGATGGTTGTTCAAGTGCTCGAGATGATGCGATTCGTTCCCAGACCAGCAGATCAGCTGCGTTTGCAGCAGCGGCTGCTGCAGCAACAACTGCAGCTGCGGCACAAGGACAAGGCAAAAGAAGGGCAAGTGGTGTGGGTGTGGCAGCACGTGGGAGGGGTGCAGCTAAGAGGGGAAGGGGAGGGGGTAGGGGTGGCTCTGCTGCTAAAGGAGCTGGCACTCGTGCTGCTGCTGGTGGTGCTGCTGCTGCTGGTATAAGTGGATCACAACGGTTGATAACCCAGTTTGTCAAGAAGAATTGAGTACCGTAGTATACTATGGTGAGCTAAGCTGCTTCCCTGTGTCCTTTAGGTACTGGTATGTCCGTTCATTTTATTCCACATGAGCTGTGGGAATGCCATGCCATTCGTGCATGCCCTTTGTTGCCAAAAGAGCTGCTTCCCTTTGAAAGTAATCCACAAGGTTTGCTTCACTATGATGCAATGCAGTTCTCAGACATTCTTGCATGTCAACGAAAAGCAACATGCTTTTGAAGACAGACTCAAAATTCAGCAAGATAACCTGCTGTCTTCCATTGGGACCGAATCGGAGCTGCTTATGAGCAGTGTTGTTTAGGTTCAGGTTACCTGACATGCACGTTCAGTGGCAGCAACATGGTATGGTATATATGTGCATACAAAGGGAGCAACAATGCGTGAACTATACGGTAATACTGTAGCTGGGCAGAGGGGACAACAATGTACAGCCTGGACTATGTACAGGGCAATCTACCAATATGTACATGCCACATGGCCATGCACACGCATCTCTTGTGCATGCACGCACACCCATGGCCATGTGCACTCCTTTGACGCCAAACCCTTCGCCCTTCCACACAGCATCAGCAGGCAGGGCAGGCACGACAGTGACGCCCTAGTGCATTCCCCCTTGCACTTCTTTACTACCCTATGTACAACAACACTACAGGGGATGTGAACTTCAGAGGGCCTTCAGCAGGCATGGCTAATAAGCTCCCCACACACGCACAGACAGGGGTTGCTCTGGAACGAAGGCAGCACCACTGCAGGGGATGGTTTGGTGGTGCCCGGGTGTTGATCCGCTGCTGCTGTAGTCGTATGGTGCTCTGCTGCTGCAACCACTGCTGCCCCACCTGCTGCTGGTGAGTCGGGCTGAATGCCTGGAATTGGATGGGGTAAGACGGGGAACGATGGAGGGGGAATAAAGTCACGAGGTTGGTTGGAGTGGTACTATGGGTAATGATGGGTTTGATCGTCGCAACCTACTCTAGAGCATGGGAACGAATATCTGGGGAGTAGGACAGCAAGCTTTAGCACGGAAAGCCACAAAGTATGCACATATAATATCACCAATGCCGCACATATCACTGGCACACATGCACACCCAGAAAACTCATACAGACCACGGTGGCTATGGCGATGTGACGTCACCTGAGGGCCATGATGACCTCAGCAGCGTCCAGGGGTTCCCCTGCACGAGGTCGGACCCATCGTGCCATGGCGGCATGGAAGCATGGCTGCTGCTGTAACGCTGCCAGTACCAACTCCCTCTCCACTCGCTCCACCGCTGCTGCTGCTGCTGCTGCTGGTGATGGTGATGGTGATGGTGATGGTGATGGTGATGGTGAAGATAATAACGAGGCCCCAACAGGTATTCCAAACACCTCCACTCTTTCCAAGCACACAAACTGCTTCACCCCATCCTCTCCCACCTCCTCCCCTAACTCCTCTTCTCCACCTCCCCCTCCAACATCACGTCTTTGTAGCCTCCCCTCCTCCTCTCCCCCATCTCTTCCCCCACCAGCTGGCTGGCAGGCAGTGAGCGGGGAGAGGCCTGTCAGGTAGATTCTCAGGTGGGAGCCGGCAACGAGGGCGGCAGGGGGCAGGGCGAGGGTGTGCGGTTGCAGCCAGTCCGAGGAGAGACGGATGGGTGGGGAGGTGTAGTGGAAGGAGGTGGCGGAAAAACCCACTTGCACCTGGTGTGAGGGGGAGGGACAGGGGAAGGGGTGAGAGAAGACATTAGGGGAGGGCGGAAGGGGAGTGGGAGGGTGTGAATGAAGAGGGGTGGGGCCGGGCAATGGATGATGTGTTTGCGAGAGCAGCAGACAGAAGCAACAAACAGCAGCTGTTCCCTTACGCCCCATGCGCCATGCCCCGCACCCCATGCGCCTGACCTGCATGTGGGAGGCGCGAGAGGAGCCATAGAGCGGGGCGGGTGTGACCACCACGCCAGCCACGGCGCACAGGGGGTGCGCCAGAGCCACGCCCACAAACTCCCCTGCTCTGCCCCCTTCTCTGCCCCCTGCTCTGCCCTCTGCTCCGCCGCATGCCTTGCCGTGCCGCTTGCTCTCTGCTGCCCGTCTGGCTTTGGTCCGCGGCTGTGCGGTGGGGTGGGTTAGAATGGAAGGTGAGAGAGGAGGACGATGCGTTGGGCATGTGCTGTGTGCTGGTGTGGTGTGGGGTGGTGTGGGGTGGTGTGGTGTGGTGTGGTGTGGGGTGCGTTGTGCATTGTGGAGGTACATTTGAACAATATGGAATCTATCCTATACTAGTCAAAAAGCAATGCACATACTTCAGAAAGAACCATCCTTTCCCTACTCTTCCGAATCCCATTTTCTCTCTTGTCTCCCCGCTTCCCCTTTTTCACCTCCCTGCCCCCTATTCGTTCCCTGCGTTACCTCGCTGCACCAGATGCCGCCATCTCCCCCGCACCCAATACCCTGCACGCGCCACTCGCCCCACTCGCTCGAGCAGTCCACCCCCCGTGCCACTAGCCGCTCTACCCCTCCCCCCCACTGCGCCCTTGCCAGCACCAGCGCGCCAAACAGTCCCTTCCACCGCGCTGATTCTCCCCCGCTCCCGCCTCTTCCCCCTCCGCCTCCCCCGTCCCCTCGGCCTTCTCCTCCCCCGATCTCTCCGCTTGCAGCAATGGCCGGGTGGCAGGGGAAGGTGCTCTCGCAACGCTGCTGCCACAGAGAGTCCGATGCTGGCGTGCAGGGATGAGGGTTGATTCATGGGGAAGAGAGGGGCGTGCAGGGAAAGCGGGTTGGGATTCGAAGAATCTGACCATGGATTCGTGCATTTCTGGCGTGTGTCTGTGCATTACAATGTGCATCCATCCACTCATGCTTGCGTTACAGAAGGAGCATGCAAGCACCGCACCCACAAGCACCGAACCCACAGGCACTGCACTCACAGGCAACGCGGTGCCAGCAGCGGCAGACAGCCGCCATGGCGCAGAGGTCAGACGCGGTGAGGTGCGGTGCAATGCTGCCCTCCACCACCTCCGCTGGTACTCGACACAGGGCGTGGCAGGAAGCATTCGATGCTGTATCGCATCCTTGCTCACTCCGCCTCCCCCACTCCTGCTCCGAGCACGGGTGCTCGCGCTGACTCTCTGGACGAGGTACAATGGGGCCGCAGTGCACGTGGCCAGGACCCACGTGGTCGGGACCCATCATCTCGACCCTACCCAGTGACCGGATCGCGTGACTATCTGTCACGTAGATCAGCTATATCGTTACCCAACGAAAAGAGTCAGGGGGCAGAACCTAGATCGATCACGAGACATCCTCCTACGGTCGCCACTCCGGGCCTGCCATGTCGGTACCTTAACTCGTCTGGCACCGGGATGAGTGCGCAGTGATTTCAAGACTCCAAGAATTCTCAAGATTTCTCAGCACTCAGTGGAAGGTCGCACTCCTGAGTAGGGTTTTTGTAGGAATGGGTTCAATGTTTACTGAGCGCCGCCGTGGCGTCGATTGAGCGTGGGGACCTCGATTGAAGTGATTGGGGCACATGGCATGGGAAGCAACGACAGGTTGCGGATGTGGAAACGAGAAGGGTGGCGGAATCTGGCCAGTAGGGGTGGGTGGTGATGGGCGGCCGAGGAGGAGGATACTGGGAGTTTGACGAATGGGTTTGAAAATCTCAAGGCGACAATGGTTTCGGGGAGAGTGAAAAGGCGAGCGAGCGAGGTGGCTGAGCCACCGGTGCGACGAAACGCGCGACCATGCGATGGGTTCGATGCGAGTAGTCGCTGAGGCAGCTCGCCGCTGCATGAGAACATGGAATGCTTTGAAATGCTTTTCTTCTAGGATAATCCAATAGCGAGAGGCTGTGGGCGTCGCGCCGTGAGGTACAGTGAAAGGGGGTATGCAGCCGGAAAGGAGCTCCGAAGAGTAGTGATGGGTGGAGCGGCCATGGCGAAGCGGAAACGCGGCAACGAGTCGCCATGTGAACGGAGAGCGCGTGACGTGCATGGCCGCCGTAGCCTAGCACTAGAATTACAGTAGAGTCTGCGTTGGAATTTGCGCCTGGTTCTAGTCAAAGGACGGATCGAATTCGGGGAAATGGGTGCTGTGCAGTGCAATGTACAAGCCCCACACCTCCGATCCGAAATGTTGGTGTTGGAATTCGCGCCCATTCGCATCATGTTTCGTTTGGGGCTCGAAGTGGTTTTGGATAGGAACAAATATAAGCGAGTACTAAATTTGCAGTGTTGAGGATCACAGTTATAACAGAACGAGCGCCTTACTGAAACGCGGTTTAGTTTCCACGTGGATGGACAGCCCATCAAAACATGATGGCGCGGGCAGTACTGTACGTATGCCCAGTACATGTGGGACGTGTGCGACACGCAAGCACAGTCTACTTCCTCCTGTAAATCTTCGGCATATTCCCACGAAGTATGTTACAGACCTTAGCGAAATTGCCTTTCCACAAATCACCAAGCGTGACTCCGTCGCGAAGAAAACCGACCCCCTCACCTCCCCCCCGAGCTCACATTCACCTCTGCGCCTGCTCCAGAACCTGACACGAAGGAAACGGTCCGATTGCCATCAAGAGAGGAAAAACAGCGACCCGCTTGGTTCTTGTCGGGGAGGGAAGCAAGTCATGTGGGGTGAACTTGAGAAGAAACTGAGTTTTAGCTAAAGGGACTTGTTGACCGAGAATACTGAGCTTTAGCCAAGAGGACGCTGTTCCTGTCTTGTCGCGATACGGTTTGACGGCTCAAGGCCAATCCGCTAATTTGGAGCTCAGGATGGAAGACTCTGGCTCTTTCGATACAGGCGGCTTCGGTAGCGACGATTTTGGCGGAGGGAATTCGGATTTCGGCGGTGGTGGCGGCGAACCCTCCGCGTTTGGCGGAGGCGACATCTTTAGTGGAGGTTTTTTCTCGGGTGGCGCATCTATGAATCAACCCCAGATTTTTGAAGACGACGCGGGCCGCACCGACACGGGCTCGTTCGACCCTCCCCCGACCGCCACTGGCGGCGGCGGCGGCGACGGAGGAGGAGGAGCAGCTTCTTGGATTGCACCGGTGGCCGCGGGCTTGGGCGGGTTCGCGCTGGGCCACATGACGGCCGGCGGAGGCGGAGGCGGTCCATGGGGGGGAGGCGGAAGCCCCTGGCATCGGGATAGCGGGTGTCGCCATGGCGAGTATGAGGATCCCCATCGCCACCACCACCACCATCACGACCATCCGCACCGCCCCCATCCCCCCCATCCTCCGCATCCTCCGCATGACCATGACGATCCGCCACCTGCCATCGACCCATGCGCGTTTCGTGATCCGTCGGCTATTTTCCGCCACCGCCTGCCGGCCACTCCCCCTCCCGTCTTCCGCCCCGCCCTTTCCGCCCCCCTAGCGCGCAACCCGGAGCCGTCACGCCCTGGGGGCACGGCGGGGGCGCGAGGCGGTGGCCGGAGCACCCGGTGGTGGCGCACTCGGGGCGGTTTCCGCAGGAGAGGTACAGGCGGCCGCGGCCGCCCACGTGGCTGGTTGTCATGAAATGGCTGCCGTGGGTTGCGGTTGCTGGTGAGTAAGTGGGTGGTTGTATGGGGGGGATGAGCTCGCTGCATCGGGTGGCGTTTAGGGGTGTTAAAACGGACGCGCGCGGGTTTGGGATGTGCATGCACCGTGCCCAAGCATGCAACCCATTTTTCTCATAGTTCCCCCTGCCCCCTCTCCCTCCCTCTTCCCCCCCCCGACCCCTTTCCCCCGCCCCGCCCACCCCGGCAGTGGCGTTGTGGCTGTACGTGTTCGCATACGCGTCCACGAGTGTGGATCTGCATCCCCACGAGCACCGCATGCTGCCGCGCTTTTCGCCCTTCGTCGCCGGCATTCAGGTGCGGCCGAGCCGGTTGAATGGTGGCGGGGTGTGGAGGAGGGAGGTGAAGCTTGGGCTCGTGGGTCGGTGAGATGGGGTGGTGTGGAGCTACGAGTGTGGGCTTGAACGGGCGGGCGGGTAGGTGCGTGCATGTTTCAGTCACACATCAGAATGAGCTGCTAAGCCTTCCGCCCCCCTCCTCTCTCCCCCCTCTCCCCGCCTCCCGAGCCAGGTGTCCCCGCTGGCGCTGATGCCATCGCCCCCGCCCGTGCTGGTGACGTTCACGCGCTACCCGCCCATAGTGAACGAGGAGTGGGCCACGGGTCGCCCCAACGTGCGAGTGGAGCCCTACTCCTACCGGGTGAGGTCGTGGGTCAATGGGCGGGCGAATTGGGGGGTGGGCGGATGGGCGGTCAGGTGGTTGATCGGTAAGGTGGGCGGGCGAAAGGGGGGGTGGATGGGTAGGGGGGTGGGTGGGTGGGGGGGGGGGGGGGTAGTGGGCGGGTGGGCGGGTGGGTGGCACCAAGCAGTGTGTTACCACCGTGCATGCAGCGACATGGACCGAACGGCACCACGCCACACCCCACAGTTTCTCAGCCCGCCATTCGTTTTCCTCCCACCCACCGCCCCTCGCCCCGCTCTCCCCATTGCACTGTCCCCATTGCGCTGTCCCCATTGCGCTGTCACGATGTGCCTGGCAGAGCTGGCTGTTCAACTTCAACAAGTGGTCGAAGATCACGCTCTCCTTCTCAGGCATCCGCTCCTATGTCCCTCTCGACCTCCTAGCCATTGAAGGTATGCATGCACAGCTCGCTACCATCCCCATTACTGTGCTCGCCTTTTGAGACGTCTCAAAAGTCCCATTTCCCATTCGACCTGCTAGTTATTGAAGGTATGCATGCGCGGCGTGCTACCATCCGCGTTCCCATGCACCCCCACCCCACACCGCCCATTTCCCCCCTCAACCCCCTCTCACCGTCCTTTCCTGATGCCCATGGTGCCCCTGATGCCACTGATGCCATGGCTCTCATCCCATGTTTTGATGTTCCCTCATTCTGCCCAGCCCAGCAACCACCATTGTGGGATTCGAACTAACTGTTGTGCCATGTGATGGCATGGCATGGCATGGTGTGGCGTGGCATGGCGTTGTGTGGAATGGAATGGCATGGTGTGGCATTGTGTGGCGTGGAATTGCATGGTATGATGTGGCATGGCAGGGTCGAGTCAGATGGATAAGTTCAAGACGGATCCGAGGAAGTTCACTGGAGCACTCAGGAAATATGTCCTCTCAGGTACACAGGCTACAGGTTCTGAGGCGTTTCAAACCTGGGGCACTGAGGAAACACTTGCTCTCAGAAAGATACGGTACAGGTAGTGCAGGTGCAGAGAGGAGGTTCTCTGGCGGAGAGAGGTAAACACGAGGGTGTGGTGTTGTTGCTCCAGTCGTTGATCATCATCCCCATGCCATCCCCAGCCGTCCTAACGCCATCCCTACGCCATCCCCATGCCATCTTCCTTCATCCTCCTACTCCACTGCGCCTTGTGTGCGTGCAGGCGACGACGCAGTGACGTTTCAAGTGCCCAGGGACAACGATTACTACTTTGTGATCGTCAACTACAATGCTTATCCTGCCACCGTGAGTAGTGAGGTGTATTTTGAGGCGCCTCAAAAGTCGTCTCATGTCTCGCGGTTTTAAGGCGCCTCAAAAGTCGTCTCTATCTCGCGGTTTTGAGGCACCTCAAAAGTCGTCTCTATCTCGTGGTTTTGAGGCGCCTCAAAAGTCGTCTCATGTCTCGCGGTTTTAAGGCGCCTCAAAAGTCGTCTCTATCTCGCGGTTTTGAGGCGCCTCAAAAGTCGTCTCAAGTCTCGCGGTTTTGAGGCACCTCAAAAGTCGTCTCTATCTCGCGGTTTTGAGGCGCCTCAAAAGTCGTCTCATGTCTCGCGGTTTTGAGGCGCCTCAAAAGGGACAAGGCAGTGACGTTTCAAGTGCCAAGGGACAATGATTACTACTTTGTGATTGTCAACTACAATGCCTACCCGGCTACTGTGAGTCACCCTGCTGCCACCCTCGCCTCTCTGTTTTTGCGACTCGTTTTTTGCACTTACAGCGTTCAGGGGGGGAGACTGTGGGGCTGCAAGTTGGCTTGATGTCGCTCTTATCACCCTTTTTCACTCGAGTCGTTATTGATAATCGCTTAACATAAACTCGTATATCTGTATGCATGCATGCGTGGTGTCCGTCTGTGTGTGTGTGTGCATGCATGGGAGCAGGTGGCCTTGGCGCATTTCGAGGTCACCAGTGTGCTCTATGACATCAGCAAGGGAAAGAAAGCCTGCAAAATCAGGAACAAGCACCCTGCTCCCTTGGAATCTTCAAATGGGACGGATGGCTTGGACAGGAAAACCTTAACGAACGCTACAAGTGGTCCCATGCGCATGCCCATGCCCATGCCTAAGAATGACTCATTGGCTGTTGTCACAGACACCACTGATGGGGGTGCTCTCACTGATAGCGATGATGATGACGATGATGACTATGGCTTTTGCAGTGCGAAGCTGCCGCTGTGGCAAACCCGATACGTTGTTCTTGCTGCTCCCAAGGTGGGTCTTGCCTTGCCTTTTGCCTTTCCCACTTGCTGTCTTGCCACCAGCCTGCGTTGTTTCCTTCTCTCGGTCTCGGGTAATGCTGTAGTTCTTCCTTTCCGTTCATTTCTGTTGATCCAAACATTTCCCCTTCATTCATTCCTCCCATGTCCCTCCTGCCTACGTCTCACCTCCCGCTTCCCCCTCGTCCATTCTTCTGTGCGTGCCCACCAGACGAACAAGCCAGACAGCACGTGGCATGTGCAAGTGGCCTACCAGCCACGATGGCTTGCGTACCAAACGCTCATTGGTTGGTGCCCTCCTTCTCTTGCCTTCCATTGCCGTCCATCTCCGTTTCTCCCCCTTGCTCTCCTTGCCCTGCCCCTTGGCCCTCCTCGTTTCACCTAAGTCTCGTCCTCGTCAGTCACTCTGGTCAGGCGGGCACGTGATCTCATTCCTGTTTGTCCGCCCACATGCACCCCATGCCCCGCATGCACCACATTCACCCCATGCATCCCCTGTACCATGCCCGACCACTTCCGCTCATTCCACTTCGACCTTACAAAACCGATCCTTCCTGCCACTCCCATTTCTGCCTCCCAACCTCGCCCTTCCATCCCCACCCCTCCTCACTACCTCCCCCCTCTCTCCTTACACCTCTTCCCCGTCAATCGTTTCTCGGCTGCCTCCTCCTCCTCCTCCTCCTCCTCCTCCTCCTCCTCCTCCTCCTCCTCCTCCTCCTCCTCCTCCTCCTCCTCCTCCTCCTCCTCCTCCTCCTCCTCCTCCTCCTCCTCCTCCTCCTCGCCCTCGCCCTCGCCCTGCAGGCATCCCCTTTGTACTGTCTCTCATCGCCTTTGCCATCTTCCGCTGTCAGCAATACCTGCACCACCGCTCTGACTCCATGCGCCAGCCCTCCTCCCTCGCCTCCATCTCCACCGACCCCTCCCCTCTCCCCTCCTCCTCACCCTCAGAGCAGCACCCTCTTCTCACCTCTTCCGATTCCCCCCCGCTGTACACGCCTCCCGACCAAGCCACAGCAGCAGCATGCAGCGATGTGTGCACAGCTTCCCATTCACAGGCGCCGATTCCTGATGCATGGGCTGTTACAACCACCACTGACGCCCTACCTGGTTCCAGCACCCCCTCTGCCCCTCCCCTGGAGACATCTCCTGGAAAGGCACAGGTGGGGAAGGGAAGCGCAGGGCAGGGGAGTGAGGCAGCAGGAGGGTCGGGGTCAGGCGTGGGGAAAGCTGGGGAGGGCGAGGACAAGGACAGTAACTGCTGCTGCGTGTGCATGGAGAACCCGCGGAACGCGGTTATTCTGGACTGCGGGCATCGCGCCACGTGCAACTCGTGCGGGCAGGAGCTGATGCGCATGGCAAACAAGCGGTGCCCCATTTGCCGCAGGGAAGTGCGGGATGTCACGAGGATTTACGACGCGTGACTTGTGGGGGATGAGATGAGACCGATTTGACCACGAGGGCTCTGCTGCGCTTCCCATGCCATCTCCTGGTTTCCTGGTTTGGGTGGCGGGCTGCTTGGACTATTCTTCTGCATGTTTAGTTACAGCTGTTCTTGCGCAGTATTTGTAGTCTTGTTAACTTTTGAGTCTTTTTGCGAAGAGGACACCTCTTTTAGATGTAGTGAAATTGAAACAAATGACTCTATCACTCACAAAAATCTGATAAATGTTGATAAAGCATGCAAGAAACAGTTATCTTACTGGTGAGTGGTAGAATGCTTAGTTTTCTTTATTGCCACTTTGCCACTTGATCTACAGACATTAGAATGCTTGTCTGCAGCAAGTGTGGGCACGGTATTTGTTCTTACGGTATATTGTTCATCTATGAGCTGTCATCACCACGGATAAGCGCCTTATGTATGGCTGTAGATGGTGCCTATCTGTATGTTCACCAAGATGGCCAATATGGTGGTGGTAACGAGAGAAGGCTCTACACGTTAATTGAAATTTATGATTACTGGGACGAATTCATCAACACAAGTGCCAAAATTTTAACCAGGCCAGTTCATTGAATCGGCCTGATCAATAGGACCGCTTAGATGGCGGCAAAGTACTCCTTGCTGCCCTTGGGGTCGGGCTTCATGGTCTTCTCCCCAGGCTGCCAGCCAGCAGGGCACACCTCGTCGGGGTTGCTCTGCACGTATTGCACGGCCTGCAGTGTCCTCAGGGTCTCATCCACGGAGCGGCCAATCGCGAGGTTGTTGATGGTGCAGTGCTGGATAACACCCTTGGGGTCGATGATGAACAGGCCACGAAGAGCAATGCCCTGCACATTAAGCATTGTACGCCAACACCGACAATCCCGGAAGAACGTGACTGCCATTTCCCGCCGTCCAGCGAAATTCGGAAGACTGGATGACATTTTTTTACATATATGTTAGTCGCTGTGTGAATAGGCGCTCTTATGAACTTCGGTGGTTAGGCACATTTGACCATTGGGCTAGTGCTAGGGAACTTACATCCTCCATGAGGACGTTGTACTTCTTGCTGATGGACTTGGTCAGGTCAGCCACGAGGGGGTAGTTGAGGTCGCCAAGACCACCGGACTTGCGGTCGGTTTGGATCCAGGCAAGGTGAGAGAACTGCGAGAAAAAGCAACACGGGAATTCTTAGAAAAGGGTTCATCACCACCTCACCACCAACTATCGGCGTAACGGGGTGGAATGATGAAAGAACAATGACATACCACGCTGTCCACAGAGACGCCAAGAACCTCGGTGTTGATCTTCTCGAACTCCGAATAGCGGTCGCTGAAGGCAGTAATCTCTGCGATGCAGGGAACGCGGAACTCAGAACACATATAAAACGCTACTACTAACACGCCTCCCATGCATATGTTCAAGAATTAAACTAGTATCGTACCAGTGGGGCAGACGAATGTGAAGTCCAGAGGGTAGAAGAAGAGGACGACATACTTGCCCTGAGACAGGTACTCGCTCAGCTTGACCTGAAACAAATAGCCAGGATGGGGCCGGTTACAAAAGCAATTCAATCGAGAATTAAGACAAGAACACGGACAAGTGGGACATGGCAGAAATTGACCATAAGGAAAACAAATCTAAGCTGAGAGCATTACACACCTTGATGAACTCCTGGTCAAAGACGGCATCAGCCTCGAAGTCAGGGGCAAAATTGCCGACAAGGGGGGCCTCCGCCTGGCAAAACAAGCAAATCGAGTTGCGAACGTGAGTCCTGCCTCAAGTAGGAAGCCAATTCACATCTACAGCACAGGAACCAGTTGTTTCAAGCATACCTTCACGGCAAAGACGCGAGTCGACTTCTGGGCGGGGACGGCAGAGGCCTTGGCGGCCTTAGCGCACCTAGCCTTGAAGGTCTTGCCAAGACCGTCTTGCCTCGAGAAGCCGAGGGTCAGGCTCCTGGAAGCCGAGATATCCTTGGCGTAGGAAGAAGCGCCAAGAGATGTGGCGACAGAGCTGGAGCTCAAGGTGGTGGTAGCGGCCATGGCTGCTGGAAGGCTGAAAATGCAGGAAGGGTTGACCAGGAGATTGATGGACGCAAATTTAGTGCACCAAGGCAGCAGGTCCAGTTATTACTTGGAAGCCCTTCTCGCGGTGGACAATGGGTTCCAGTGATGTTCTTTCTGGCCTGGATGTTCTGCAAGAGGGAGTTGCTGACATGGCGGTTCTCGAATGATAAGGCTGGCACTTATGACGTCGCATATCCACGTGGCGAGACCTGGCTGTTCTGTTAGGGAAAGATCGGAACTTTTGTGGTTGGTCTGCGTTGGTGACTTTTGCCAAGTAAGTGCAGCCCTCAAGCTCGAATTCGTTATTGGACTTCATTGTTCCGATAAAAGATCCGACACATAGAACTTGGACTTTTTCTTTACATTTTATCCATATTGTAAGGAAAATTCATTTTCCTTACTTCGCGTCCCTGCTTACCGCGTACATGCCCGTTCCCGCCATCGGCACCCATCCGTGAACGTTACCCGCTCGCGAAATTCGCCTCGACCACGACCCCCACCACTGTTCGCGATGCGACCCAACCTAACGGTTCGGTTGGTAACCCGCGCTCCGGACCTCCGCCTCGACAACTTCCCGAACCTCGGCGCTAGGCCCGTAGCGCACCCCAATTTCCCACATTACCGTTACCACGCTAGCTTCGCTATATAACTTCGCTCATGCTTTTCGCTCAACTGTATTGTTTTGCTTCGATAGTGCAATTCTCGCTCGCTCACTCAATTGCACTCGTAACACTTGGTATTCAGAGCCTACGATCTCCTCTCGGACCGCACCCACACCTTCGCTTCCCCACTATCTCAATTTTTGGGGGGGGTAGACGTCTCTAAGCGAACAAGCACTGCCGCTCGAAGTGCTCTCTCGTAAGCACGCACGGCCACGACAGAGGCTCTCGTTGAGCTTGCCCGACACCCCCGCCATGGCCGAAATTAATCTTGCGACACTGACGCAGGAGCAACTCGACCGTCTCGTGCGCCAACTCGAAGACTCGGCGCTCGAAATCGCGACACTCACGGCGAAACGTGACTCCGCCCGCCAGCAATCAACCGTGAATGTACCAGTACAAGCTCCCGCAAATGCACCTGCGCAATCAGAAGAACCGATCGTCATCTCATCAGGCACACCGACGCAACACAACAGCGTGGGACAGCGCTCAGGCGCAGCCAGTGATGGCGCCGCTCAATCGATGCCTGGCATGGAGAGAAATAGGGCCGCACCAAGCCCGCGTGGGCCTCGCGAAGCTCATCGGCACGTGGAGTTTGCAGCAACAAGTGGCAGCCACGACATCATGGCACCAATGCACCTCAAGCCGCAGCGCCCGCCGTGTTTCGATCCGAGCCAACGTGGAGGTCCGACGGTTCAATAGTGGGTCTTCACGATGAACGTTTTCTTCGACGCGAATTACGTCGAGTCGGACGCAGCGAAGATTCGCTACGCTGTTTCGCTGCTGAGGGGCCCCGCCATGGACTGGTGGCGAGTCATCGTGACGTCGCCACGCGCCTACGAGCCACCGTCGCAAGAGGAAGAGCCCACGGGCCCAGCCGTCACCTGGAGTTCATTTTGCGAAACCGCCCAGTACAGCACGTGGGATGCGTGGTGCGCAGGGCTTCGGGCGCGCTTCGAGCCGATCGCAGCTTCTATTTCGGCGTGTCAGAGACTGCGTACTTGGCGGCAACTCGGATCAGTTCAAGACTACACGAGCGGTTTTCTCGCATTATGCGAGCAAGTCGGCTACATGCACGAAGCGGAGCGGGTGGACCGCTACGTCGGAGGGTTGAAGCCGGACATCTCGCACGAAATCATGCTGCGCGGGCTCTCGAATTTTAACGAGATCCTCGCGCTCGCCGAGAAAATCGACATTTTGCGCCGTCCGAGACCGGGGTCCTATTACGGACATCGTCCTCGGGGACCGATCGAGCACGCCACCGTACACGCCGTTGCGACGAATGCAGCTGCCGCGCCGTTTAAGGGGCGCTGTTTTGCTTGCAACAGGCCGGGCCATCGCAAAAGCGAGTGCCCAGAGGAGCTAAGGCGCCGCGGAGCAGAGCAGGGGAGGGAGTCTCAGAGGCAGGGAAACGCCAGCAGTCAGTAGAAATTGTGCCAACTACTGACGAGACTGCCTGCTCGCCCAACCTTACCGACCCTCACCGAGTCACAGTACCGATTCACGCCATCGATCAGGCTCGGATGAATAAGGAGGGTACAGCGACGGATTGCCCAGTACTGATCCACGGGAAAATACAGGGAGCAGTAGTTAAGATTTTTATAGACAGAGGGGCAAGTCACAGCTTAGTTAATTCCACGGCCGCACGGAAGCTGCAACTGGCGCTTAGTCGGTGCTTACCAGAGATAGACGCACGCATAGTTGACGGAACGCCGCTGGCCATACGGGAGAAGGTGGAGAGAGTAAAAGTCCGCTGCGGGGGGAACTTTGGGTTTACACAGGAAATGCTCGCAAAGACATTGGATGGGCACGACATTTTACTGGGACGTGATTCGCTGCGACCGTATAACCCGCGAATCGACTGGACGACGGGTAGCTGCACTGTGCGAAGTAGCGGTAGCTGGGTCGAACTACCTCGCTGGCAGTCGCCCGAGTCTTCAATGGTCCACGTCAACGCCATCACGATGAAATGGGTTATCGCCGATGGAGCTGACGTGTACGCGATGGAAATCGCAGTGGTAGAAGAAGCAGAGCAGCCGAGCAATTTTCAGAAACTGCTGGCAGCGGTACCGCCCGAACTACAGGAACTGTTGAAACGTTACCCAGGGATTTTTCCCGATGACTTACCGGAAGGACTGCCACCTCAGCGGGCACACGATCACCGAATAGAGTTAGAACCCGGGGCACAGCCAACCGTACAGCGACAGTTCAGACTGACACAGACCGAGCTCGACGAACTGAGGAAGCAACTAGATTATATGTTAGACAAAAAGTTCATCTGACCGAGCTCGTCACCGTTCGCCGCACCGATACGGTTCACACCGAAAAAGGACGGAGGTTTTCGCATGTGCATCTATTACAGGGCACTAAACAGGGTTACAGTCAAGTCGCGATACCCCATTCCCCGCGCTGACGAACTGATAGATCAACTACGAACAGCACGGGTCTTTTCGAAAATCGACTTACGGGGAGGTTACCACCAGATTAGGGTTGAACCATCAGACTGCGCCAAGACAGCATTTAGAACTAGGTACGGGTCCTTCGAGTACACTGTGATGCCTTTCGGGCTGACCAACGCACCGGCGACGTTTCAGATGACCATGAACGAGGCATTTAGGCCACTCTTAGATAAATGTGTGATAGCTTACGTCGACGACATCCTTGTCTACAGTCGCGACAAGCAGCAGCACTTAGCAGACCTGGAAGCAGTTTTTTAAAATTTAGACGAACACAAGCTACTGACCAAGGGTTCCAAGTGCGAGTTTTTTGAGGATAGGCTAGAGTTTCTGGGGCACGCTATTTCAGAGGCTGGGGTTGAGATCGACCCAAAGAAGTTGGACACGGTAAAAGCGTGGCACCCCCCGACAAATATCACGGAGCTGCAGAGTTTTCTCGGGTTCGTTAATTTCGTGCGTCGGTTCGTCCCCGACATGGCGAGGTTAACAGCCCCACTGACGGATCTGCTACGGAAGGGGGTCACTTTTACATGGGGGGAGAAAGAGCATGCTGCCTTCTCTGCCCTGAAAAATGTTCTCTGTTCACCGCCCGTACTGCGCATCGCCGACCCACACCGCCCATTCGAAGTGGTTACAGACGCAAGCGACATCGCCATTGGAGCAGTACTGCTACAGGATTTCGGCAACAGGTTACAGCCCATCGCATACGAGTCACGCAAACTGCATCCGCCCGAGAAGAACTACCCGATACACGACCGCGAAATGCTCGCGTACGCGAAATGCTCGTGCACGCGTTCAAAGTGTGGCACCGTTACTAGACCGGCGCAGACGTGACAGTACGGACAGACCACAAACCACTACAGTACCTCCGCGCACAGCCCCACCTCAACCCACGACAGATCCGCTGGCTCGACTTTCTCGAGTCAAACTTCCACTACACGGTCACCTAAAAAAAAGGGGCATCGAACATTGCCGACGTGCGGTCTTTCCAGCGGATCAGGAATTCGATCCTACGGGCTCCCCGTGGGTCACGTACTCGGTGGCTCAATATTTTTTCGGGCGTGATGATTGGCTCTGTCGGTGGTCGTGTCATGCTGGCGGGGCGATTGCGAGGCAGTTGACTGGTGGATGGTACATATGGGCGAAACAGGCTGACGTGGAATGACGGGCTGACGTACCAGTCAGCAGGGAGGAGGAGGTGGGCGGTGACGGGTGTGATCATGTGGCTGATGCGAAATGGCCCGCGATATCGGGGGCGGAGTTTTGGGGTGATGGGCAGGCGGAGGTTTTGAGTGTCGAGTAATACCAGGTCGTCGGGTTGGTAAGTGACGGGGCGGCGGTGTCGGTCGGCGTTGCGCTTAGCGATGACATTTGATTTTTTTATTGCTTCTGCTGCTCGGGTCCGTGCTGCTTGCAGTATCTCTGCGAACTGTTGCGCGCGTGGGACTGGGTTGTCGGGATTCGGGGTCATGGGTACTGTGGGGTCTTGTCCGTAGTTCAGAAAGAACGGTGACTGTTGGGTCGTGGCAGATGGCGAGTTGTTGTACGCGAACTCGATGAGTGGCAGTTGCTGTTCCCACGTGGTCGGGTCGTCATACGTGGCTCGGATGAGCTGTTCCATGGTCTGATTTGTCCGTTCTGTCTGTCCGTCGGTTTCGGGGTGGTATGATGAACTGAACTGTAGTCGCGTGCCGAACTGCTGCCACAGGTTTCGCCAGAAGTTGCTGGTGAATTTCGTGTCGCGGTCGCTGATAATTGATGCGGGTATCCCGTGCAAATGAACGACGGTGATTGATTTTTTGCAGGCTGCGAAGTGTGCCATTTTTGTCAGCCGATCGACGACGACCAGGATCGCGTCGTT